TTTTATTACCGTTAGTTTTAATATTAATTATTAGTCTTAGCATTAACATTATATATTGTTCAAATTTTTGCTGATATTATTATTATTACAGTACCATATAAATAATAAATAATTTTCGAAGACAAACACATTAATAAATAATTCTTTTTAATTCATAGGCAATAGCATTCAAATCTCTTTTGGTAGTGTGGTGGTCCTGTTTTACTAAAACATACTGTGTACTTTATTTCAATCATATATTGAAGAAAAAGGAAGCAAAAACTTAGATTTACATTAAATAACTTGTGGCCGAGTTGACTTGTGGCAGAATTAATTTGTGGCCAAGCTGATTTGTGGCCGAGTTGGCTGGAGCCGAACTTTTTGTGGCCGAGTTGATTTGTGGCCGAGTTGACTTGTGGCCGAGTTGACCTGCACCCTTCACTAGGCCTATCCCCTGTTGCTTCATTTGGGTTTTCAGCCTATGCCCATGGAACAAGGAACGTCTTGTGGCCGAGTTGACTATCATAACCAGGCCTGCTAGCCTACTAGTACTAAGTTATTAGAGGTTAGGCCTAGGGCCTAGGCTAGCCCCTACTCAGAGAGGCATGGAACAGGGTCAGCACACACTGAGTCAGGAAACTGCAGAACAAGGCCGCCGGGATTTTGATTTTTAAAAAAAACCTGAATACTCACTCCTCCAAAAAATCTTGAAACAGTTTTTGGCACTTTTCTCCTACATCATCTTTAACCTTAATACTACCTGTTCTCTGATCAGCAACGTCCATTTTCACAAGAAATGTACAGCCTAGAATCGATCAACAACAAAATCTCGTCGATATTTTTTAAAGGCCTTTAACTTATTTTCGCGCCAACTACTTCATGTGACACGAGTTCTCTTGTACTTGCGCCCTCTAGTGTTTATTATTACTAGAAATTGCAAATTGCAAGCGAAGTGCTGCGAAGTACAACTACATATAAATGTTCTTCGAACAAAATTATTTATGCGAGTCAAGAGAAAATAATGAATAATAAAAATATAACAAATAATATGAGACACGACCCATTGTCTATATTAGAACACTGACGAGCTGACGTAGAAACATAAGAACGAGCGTTTTGGTACCGTGTATGCCTCTACAACAAGCGTCGCCTAAATGTAATAATTAGCACGCTGAAATAGGCTAGTAAATAAGTTTAACTGGGTTCGTAAATAATATTGGCCTCAAAATATTTTGGCTGAGACATGGGCCGATTAAACGTAGAAATACGAAACCTAGAAATATAGTAAAAACGCTGAATAGTAATACTCGAGCGTCGCCACATGCGGACGTTGGTACGTGTAGGTTATCTACAAACGTCGCCTAAAGTAATTGATTTTACCTGGCAGAACGAAAGAAGGAAACTCCGCTTTTCAGTCATCTAAGGCCTTTGTTTTTTGACAAACAATGACCTCTGAAAGGTCAAATTGTTGTCAAGAATATGAATTGGCTGCTTCGCAGCAACTAGTACGATATATTGTGATGCTTACAGTTAATTTTATGTAATTCATATTCGAATAAATGTAAAAGTCAATGACTCATTCTGCGATCTATCATATATTTGGTAAATTATTGGGATTTTATAGGTTTTATATATATAAGATGTGTATAAGAGACAGGCATTAACATTATATATTGTTCAACGAAACGAAAGATAATAACTAAAATTTAATTAAAGATCAATTAAGTTATTAACCTTCCACCTGAAACCGATCGAACAATTTAGTTTATTGCTGATTTACAGATATTTTACTAAAGAATTCCTTAGATTAACAGTACCAGCCAATAATAGGGTCTATACAAAAAGAAAAGTATTATTTAACTGCCCCGTTAATTGACGGGAATTTTTTTACCTCATTAAAATTCTGTATTATAATTTAGTAGCTCACATAAATATGAAAATTTGGCATTCCAAATATATAGTTATATGAAGTTTTCTCCTTTTATTTAATTTTTAGCTCAGACCAGGGAGTTGTCTTCCGACATAAAGAATTTCAATTTAATTCTCCATATCCAGTTAAGAATTGCTAACTTTACAAGTACCTTAGAGTAAAAACGAAAATAATTTCTTCACCAATTAGCGGGTCCAGATAATTATTAGGCCTAAATTTCAGGGTTTTTTAATCAGCAAACAAGTTGGGTTTAAAAAATGATGTCATCACTAATAACAGGGACGATTGATTACTATTACCGTACTGTGTGGGTGAGGAATTCACACAGCGACGGACCAGAGTGTCACCAGAACAGTGCTAGGAATATGCGCATGCCCTCATTGTCATTTTGCGATACCTGGCAACAGTATCCAAGGGGCGGGGCTTAGCGGAAAGATCCATGAAGAAAGGAGGCCTATATGCAGGTACAGAAACCAAAAGGCCAATGACATTGGAAATAACTTGCCCTCAAAAGTGTTTGTACAGTTGATTTATACAATGAAGTGTCCCTAGTCCATTGATACGGTAGTAATATCAAAATTACAAGTCAAATTTCTTAGAATAAAAGGCCATTGAACTGGCACTATCTCTTATCAAAAAGTGTAGGTGTGTTTAGTAAGTAGGGCTATCTTATTTAAGAATTACTGAATAATACAAAAAAAAAAAAATAATGTTTATGTCTAATAAATTAAACGTAATGAATCGGCCTAAGTATGTTGGAGTTATGACGTTTGTTTGATTGTTTTTACCACATACAAATTATATTAAACAGTACAATGACAATTTAATGGCAACTTAATAATACAAATATAATTAGAAAAAAAAATCTAAATGCTGGTATATGTCAATTACTTATGTTAACACTTAAATATTAGCAAAACAAAAGAAAAGTATGTGGATTGAAACCAAAGGCCAAATAAAATAAATTGTTTGTTTGCCCTTCTTTTTTTAAAAATGATAAATAAGGGGTGGGTGGAAAATGTTTTTTTATTTTTTTATTTATTTTTTTTAAATAGGCTACTACTCATCAGATGGAATAAAAATAACCCACAGAGGCCTAGAATGGCAATATCTTACATCAGAAAACAACTTTAGACTAATTTGTATGGCATGGCAAAAAATATAGATAAATTCACACACATTTTTTTTATTTTGTAAAGAAAAAATTAAAAAAAAAACTTTTTTAAAGGGTGGAGGAGGACAAACAAACAATTTTTCTTTTTGGCCTAATAAAATAATATTTAATTTGTATAAAATGATATTATGTACATATAATACATAAAATATTGTATATACATGGAGGCTTCATGATCGAAAGTTTTTGCCAGGATTTGGTATATTGGTCCCTGGCGCGGCTGTGCTGCTTGGCCGCTGCTTGGTGCCTGGCATCGTAAATAGGCTAAAGTAAAAAGTTTGCAGAACGCTGATCAAGATAACACTATCCAGGGTGTCAGGGCCGGGTGCCCCCCGAAATGTTTGTTCAATTAGACGCCCAAAAATAACCTCTGATTGATCTGGGCAATCAATTTTTCATTTTTCTTTCTTTCTTTTTTTTTTTTTTTTCAACTTTCCAAAGGGGCCGCCGGGTGTTGAGTAAATAGCCTAATTACTGGAACTAATAGCTCTAAAACAGACCTTGAAACCAACGGTTTGCGCTAAAATTTACAGATAGATGCTCTCAAAAAATCTTGCCCTCAATCAGCTAATCCAGGCTATCACCCTTGTTAGAACAAGCACAGGTCATACACGATCTGTGAAACAAAAGATAGGCTACTGTATTTATTTTAATTTTGTAAAGTTAGATCATTTACAGTATGCTTATTCCTATAGGCCTATATAATATCTGTCTCTATGATTAATATGAATATGAATATGATTATTGATTCTTATTGTTATTATATTATTATAATTATAATTATTATTATTATTCTATTATTATAATTTTTACTGTATTATATTATTATTATTATATCTAGGTTCACTATGAGACGAGGCTTGCCTTCTCATTGTGATCCCGGAACAATGGCCTCTTTTCCTTTCTCGTCATTGTCATTGTTATCTATGTCATTGTCATTGTTGAATAAAGTTCATGTTATTGTCATGTCATTGTCATTGTTTCCATGTCATTGTCATTGTTGAATAATTTGAAGTTGAAAGTTGAATAAATAATATATATAAATCAATAATTAGCATTTGAATGATGGAGCAGGTCCAATAAATGTTTTAATTACAATTCTTTAGGAGCATTCTAAAAATTAAGCAATCGACAATACTATTACTATAGAAAGTTGAACACACATCATAAGGACTTAGGCCTATTTGCATTAATTTGTAATTTATTAAATTCTCAGAAATCCAGACGCGTCATCGTGTAGCCTATATCATTGTTTCTCTAGCTCTATTATCACAATTCCAGAACCTTCTTTTACAAATGTATTTTATAAAATATAATAAATATTGTCGCATTTTTTGGTTTAATAATTGTGAATAAGAAATTAATATTAATTTAAAATAGAGGCTAGTTTAATAATATTATTATTAGCTAGAATCTATTTTTAATTTGCTATTTTATAATAATATTTTAAAACATTTGGCGGACATGCTGGTACTCGAATTATCGGACCCTCACAAAATTACCGGTATTTCCTGAAAAAGCCTCAGTCTCACGTTTCAGCCAGCTAGCCCAGAGACAGAAAGATAGGGACATTGATCTCATCCACGTTTGTGTAACAAGAAGGTAAGCCAAACTGATGTGGTAATTCACTGATGTTATATAATGTAGTTTTTCAACTGTACAATACAAGCCAATCCTAGGCCTAGGCGTTAATTAAACCAATCTAGGGCCTACATTATATTTACTTGTTTGTGGTGGTGGCGGCACTGTATGTAAGCATTGATATAGGCTTTTCTTTTTCCATCTTGATTTCTTGAGGTCAAAAACATTTTTCAATTTTTTTCAATCATATAATAGGCCTATTGGTGTAGAATACCTAGTCTTTTATTAAGAACATTTTGCTGGAAAATATTTTTTGGATACGACGCCCCGTTATAGAGTTATGATTTTTTTAAATAACATGATCATGTCAGAAAATCAGCCCAAAAAGCTTGGGCCACGAGAATGAAAGTTGTAGGTTTGCGTCCGAAAAATTTTCAGAACACACGAGGCATTTTTTTCATTTTTCATTCCTATACATTATTTTTTTTATAAATGCTGTCCACAAGCCGCGGCATTGGTAATTTTACATTTATTCCCAAGAAACAATGCTTACAGTCATAAATGTACACTAGCCTATAAAAGATATCCTTTTCTACATTTAAGACCTTTTTTAAAAGTGCTGGTTAGCCTCAATGCTGGAATTATATACCTGTAGTTTGATAGAGAAAACTATTCCACTCGTTTTTTAAAACGAAGTATATTTTTTTTCAAAATATTTCAAAATAATGAAAATTTTCGTGCGATAGCTTTTTAGGCATGCGGGCGGTGGACGCAAACCTACAACTTTCATTCCCGTGGCCTTATCTTATTTCTGTTGGTTACGCACCGCTGATTCGTAATGTTTGCCATTACTTCAAAATGTCTACCGATTCGTGGAAAAGGCCTTTTTAAAACAATTTTGCTATGCCATTAATTATATTAAAACAATTATAGGCCTCTTAGGCTAGGGCCATAAGTGAGGCCTGAGACCATGTGGTTTCAAAAATCGAAGTCGTTGAATAATAAATGAATGTGATGAATGTTCATTACTATAGTATACTAATTGCCATTTGTTTGCAGGTAGAAGCACTTGACCAACCATGACAGCAATTGGAATTGATCTTGGTACAACTTACTCATGTGTAGGTGTATTCCAACATGGAAAAGTTGAAATCATTGCAAACGACCAAGGAAACCGTACAACACCAAGCTATGTAGCATTCACAGACAGCGAGAGACTGATTGGCGACGCTGCCAAAAACCAGGTTGCCATGAATCCAACCAACACAGTTTTTGGTACATACTAGTAGTAGTATTATACTTGTACTAAAATAAATTGTTTTTGTGTGGTACTGCAGGAATGTAAATTATTGATATATATCCATATGTTTTCTTGTAATGAAATGATTCAGAGAAGTGAAAGATGATATATCCTTGTCATAAAAAAAATCAAAATTTAATAATTGATATTATGTTACAGTATGTATTTAAACCAAGAATATCTAAAATATTTATTTTCAGATGCTAAGCGTTTGATTGGTCGACGTTATGATGAACCTGATGTACAAGCTGACATGAAACTGTGGCCTTTTCACGTGGTGAAGGAGGGCGATAAGCCAAAGATACAGGTCGAGTATAAGGGAGAGAAAAAAACATTCTTCCCAGAAGAGGTCAGCTCCATGGTTTTGGTCAAGATGAAAGAAACGGCAGAAGCCTACCTTGGCAAAGTATGCAAATAATGTATTCATTATTATTACTCTACTGGGGAAATTCCCTCATTTATACAGGGCATCAAAAATTGGGTTGATCAACCTAACTAACCCTTTTGAGAGGGTGATTTGGGGTTTTTTTTTTCCTTTTTTAATTTATCCCAAGCTGCTGGAGCTGAAAAATAAGTCTGTGACATAATTAATCCAACCACTGCCTGCTAACAGGCTTGTAGTCGGCCTACTTTATTATGTAATAAGCTTATTTTTCAACAAGTTAACAAAAATGATGAAACTAGTTTGGTGGAACTTCCAATCTGTTTAGTCTACAAGGCTACAAAATCAACAATTTTATCTCTTGGGAGGAGGGGGAAAGGGGAGAAATTGAAAATTCTGTAGTGATACTTGTAGGGATGAATCTTTTTTTTCCTGTATCTTAAGATGCTTTATTTTAAATGTGTGTTGTACAGTATTTTGAAATTTGAAAAAAAAAAATGTAAACACGATCGTGGATATTAACAAAACTTATATTCTACTTTCCTTTTTTAGAAAGTGTCAAATTCAGTTATAACTGTTCCAGCCTACTTTAATGATTCTCAACGTCAAGCTACAAAAGATGCTGGTACAATCTCTGGCATGAACGTAATGCGAATTATCAATGAACCTGTCTCTTATACACATCTGTGTAGAATATCTGTGACATAATTAATCCAACCACTGCCATTTTACACTAAGCTAACAGGCTTGTAGTCGGCCTACTTTATTATGTAATAAGCTTATTTTTCAACAAGTTAACAAAAATGATGAAACTAGTTTGGTGGAACTTCCAATCTGTTTAGTCTACAAGGCTACAAAATCAACAATTTTATCTCTTGGGAGGAGGGGGAAAGGGGAGAAATTGAAAATTCTGTAGTGATACTTGTAGGGATGAATAATCTTTTTTTTCCTGTATCTTAAGATGCTTTATTTTAAATGTGTGTTGTACAGTATTTTGAAATTTGAAAAAAAAAAATGTAAACACGATCGTGGATATTAACAAAACTTATATTCTACTTTCCTTTTTTAGAAAGTGTCAAATTCAGTTATAACTGTTCCAGCCTACTTTAATGATTCTCAACGTCAAGCTACAAAAGATGCTGGTACAATCTCTGGCATGAACGTAATGCGAATTATCAATGAACCAACTGCAGCTGCTATTGCCTACGGTTTAGACAAAAAAGTAAGCTCAAACATCCTTTATAAAATCAGTATGTTGTCTGCTTTAAAAATGTATACAGTAGTATACATAAACAGTTATGTTAAGATACTGTGTGATAAAATTTGGAAAACCTTGCATTATATTTTAATTGCTCATGTAAAGGTATCAAGTACTTGGCATCCATACAGATCAAAACAATTCAGTTGCATTGATAAACATACCTGAACATGTGAATATTTGTAGCCATGTTCTGATTGGTCACTTAAGTTTAATTCAACCTTCTGGAAAGATCTATTGATAATTAATACAGTGGCACAATGAAAATTGCTGTAGAAAGGTGATCCTGCTGCTATGGTAAAATCCCTGTGCCCATATTATTACTGAATTACTAACTACATTGCATTAATAATGAATGCACTTGTGAAAGTAATCTTGTTACATTTGTGGTATTTTCTTTGTACTTTCATGTACTTTCATTTTGTAAAGATTGATATGCAATTGTATCTTACCAACAGCACCAGGCTGAGCGCAATGTCCTTATCTTTGATTTGGGTGGTGGCACTTTCGATGTGTCAATTCTGACAATTGAGGAAGGCATCTTTGAAGTGAAGTCCACATCTGGAGATACTCATTTAGGAGGGGAAGATTTTGATCACCGCATGGTCAAACACTTCATCCAAGAATTCAAGAGAAAATACAAAAAAGATATAACTAGTAACAAGCGTGCTGTCAGGAGGCTGCGAACAGCATGCGAGCGAGCCAAAAGAACCCTTTCATCTAGCACGCAAGCAAGGTAATGATTGTTTGAAAACTCAGTGAGGTCCAACAAGGATCGTAATATTGTTTTAGGTCAAGGATATGCCGAAAAGTGAACTTGATCATTTTTTTCAGTGGCTTTTCCCTTCATAAGACAAAAAATTAGAAGGCAAGCATCTTGACCACCAAGCTATTCTCCACTCAATTGTGTTTTCAAACACCAATTCAATTAATACAAGTTTGAATTTTCGTTACAGCATTGAAATTGACTCTCTGTTCGATGGCGTTGACTTTTACACATCCATCAGCCGAGCCCGTTTTGAGGAGATGAACAGTGATCTGTTCCGTGATACCATCACCCCTGTAGAAAAGGCACTCCGTGATGCACAATTTGGAAAGGACGAGATTCACGAGCTGGTACTAGTTGGCGGTTCCACAAGAATCCCTAAAATCCAGAAGATGCTCAGTGATTTCTTCAATGACAAAGAGCTTAACAAGAGCATCAACCCAGATGAAGCCGTTGCATATGGAGCAGGTAATGGGAAATGTCATTTGTTTTCATCCCACTAAATTAGAGATTAAAAGACTGCTTGCCAAAAAAAAAAAAAATCTGAAAAATGAAATTCAATTAAGATTTGAATAGCTCATTTAAAAGGATCAAATACATTGATCACTTTCAATTAGCAACAAATTGCTTATGTTTTTGCTTATGTACTGATATCTTACTACAAAAATCCTAAAGTTGATTACTAGCCATTTAGGCCTAGTTATGCCAGCGTAAGTAGTACCAGTGCAAATATATACGAATTTGGGTCCATCCCGAGTTTACGAATACCCGCAATTACGAACGGCTCTGGGCTCGTGCCGTACGTATTTGAGGGGTTCTACTGTACTGCACACCCGTTTTACAGAGAGGCAGCTTGCTTACTTGATGTAATGTAATGTAATTTATTTTTATTCAGCTGTTCAGGCAGCCATCCTTTCTGGTGACAAGTCTGATGAAGTGCAAGACCTTCTCCTACTCGATGTTGCACCACTGTCTCTGGGAATTGAAACAGCTGGAGGAGTAATGTCGAACCTCATCAAAAGGAATACAACTATCCCGACGAAACAGTCCCAAACTTTCACAACATATGCTGACAATCAACCTGGTGTGCTCATTCAGGTTTACGAAGGTGAACGTACGATGACCAAGGACAATAACCTTTTGGGTAAATTTGAATTAACATCAATTCCTCCTGCACCTCGTGGTGTACCTCAGATTGAGGTTACTTTTGACATTGATGCAAATGGCATTCTGAATGTATCTGCCGTTGATAAAGGTACCGGCAAAGAGAACAAGATCACCATTACAAATGACAAAGGTCGTCTATCCAAAGAGGAGATTGAAAGAATGGTCAATGATGCAGAGAAATTCAAGGATGAGGACAATAAAATGAAAGACAGAGCCACAGCAAGAAATCAATTAGAAAGCTATGCATACAATATCAAAAGTACATTGGAAGATGACAAAGTTAAAGACAAGATTGATGATGATGAAAAGACCAAAGTTTTGGACAAATGCAAAGAGGTTATAGAATGGCTAGATCACAACCAGGTATGTACAAAAAATTGACACTAGTATGTTTAACAAGTTAACTGCCATTACGGCCATAAAATACAAACTAGAATGCAGATGCGCATTGTAAAACAATTTTATAATATTGCTTACTCTCCTAAGCTGCTTTTCCAAGCATTTTGTACAGTTTTGCCCTGCAGGCACTACCAGTGTCATGATATACAATACAAAAGCTGCTTCAAAAATAAATTTGTAGTCTAAAAATGTGTTGTTGACTAAGATATTAATACTGTATATTTTTTGGATATGTGAACTCTTCTGTACTCACTGATATATTTTATCTACAGTTCTTTCGCATATTAACATATTACCGATTCCTTTGTAGACTGCAGAGAAGGATGAGTTTGAATATCAACAGAAGGAACTTGAGAAGGTTGCAATGCCCATCTTCAGTAAATTGTATCAAGGAGCAGGAGGTGCAGCTGGTGGTATGCCCGGTGGCATGCCCGGTGGAATGCCTGGAGGTTTCCCTGGAGCTGGTGGTGCTCCCGGTGCCGACAGCTCATCCGGCGGCCAAGGACCCACCATCGAAGAGGTCGATTAAAATCTATATCAGAGGACCACATTCAAATTAACCGTCAACTCAACACTTTTATATAGATTACATTATTTAGCTATTTGTACAATCATTCCAAATTATAAAATTCTACCCTTATTATGTAAACTAGACATGTCCAAGAAAAATGTCATGCTATAGTCAACATAATGGCCTAGCTAATATGTTGGTATTACTGTACTTAAATGCTAGTTGGTGATAATTCACTGCAACAATAAATATAGCAGTTGGGTCTACATACTAAATACTATGCAGCATTCTTGATTCTAAAAGCTAATCATTTTGGCAATGTATTAAAATTATTGTTATTTAAAATAATGCAATATATAATCAGCGGCAAAATGATGCTCATAGTGAAACTTGTATTTCAAAAAAATCTATACCTATACTTGGTGATATTTTCATAACCCTCGTGTATACTCTTTGTCATTTGTGTTGAAGAAAATAGTATAAAATATCATACATAATAAACTATCTGGTAGTATATCTACTTGTATGGCCTAACATTAAAGAAAAACAAATGTTAATGAAATGGTGCCAATGTGATTTTTTTTGTCTCAATTGAAGATTACCTGTACATACAAAAGAGAAGAGTTTATAACAAAGAACGAACTTCAACTCGTGTTTGTGGTAGCAAAGACAGTTGCCAAATTTATTACTGTAGTAATCTATTGCACAAAAATGTTAAAAATTGATTATAATTCAATAACAAACATGCAGATTTGTATTTACGGATTCATAAACAATGCTTATAAGTTGCTGTATGTACTGTAGCACCAAGTTTAAACAGTGGTGCTACTACTGCAGAATGCTATGTACTGTATTATGTAATGATTATGAAGAAATTAAATTGCTGTAATGCAATCTGGTTATTCAATCAAAACCCCACAAAGAATGCATGTACAGTACTGTAATTGCAAATAAAATTTTCAAGGTATTGTTTGACACCTAGAAAACTTGGCTACCTTCAGATATCCAAAATAAGCATGCAATTGCAAATCAATTTTCAAGTGGTTGTTTGGGTACCTAAAAAAACTACCTCCTGATATCGGAGTTTACTTTTCGCAAAAGCTGTAGTCATGGTGGCAGGGGAATCCCGACCCCTGATGTCCCTCACAAGGTTGTATCAAAAATATAAGATAATTTGCCTGTCCAAATTTCTGGAGCCACCACTGCATGTAGGAAACAAAAACTGGCCAACCATAACCCATATACAGTACCTGACAATACCCATACATATTTCTTTACAGTACAGAAGTGTTCAACTTGCAATTATTGAAGCTGTAGACTAAAAAAGATGGGTATGTGCCCAAAGGATAGAAATTACAATTCAAGGAATCTGTACTTGATAGGTTCATAAGTGTACAGGACAGTATTGGCTTTGTAAAGGAGAGTTGGGTTGTTTGTGCCTGTCACACCAAGAATTGTTCAGGGTTCTTCAGTACTAGTACCTCTGCATCTTGTCAACAGTAGAGAAGACCAAAAAGGGGTTTTCGGTGTTTCTATATACAGCATTCCTTCATTAAGTTCTACAAAAAGGAAAGAACTAAAAGATCCATCAACCCTTCTTTGTTCCATGATAATTTGTGATTTCAGCAGTCATTATTATTTTTTTTATATTGGTTGGCCAAATATTTTTTTGTTGTATTAGACCAGGCTATAATTGAGATAGGTGCCACTTGGAGAGGTAGAAATTCTCATATGGTTTCTAGACCAGATTTTTATGGGGAATCAGAATATGTGAGGTAAAAGGGGTGTAACCTGAGAACTTTCGCGTGAGGGCGCTTTTTCAAAATGGCCGCCAAAATCCAATAAATATCATATATATGGGTAAAATAAGTGCAGAAGAGGTAGGTTTGACCAACTTTTGAATATGTAATGATAGGAGTAAAGTATAACTAGCTAAATTTATTAATGTGAAGATTTCGGGAGGCAATTGAGGGCGCTTTTTAAAATGGCCGCCAAAATTAAATAACTTGGCAGATTCAATACCCTAGATAAATTTGTTTAATTTACAAAACATGAATGTAATAACTGCTGTTGACGTTTTAAACCTAAAACAACATATTTTAGGGGTGTAAGCTAACTGACTTTTGAAAATATGTAAGTAAAATTTCTCCCTTATATTATTAGCCCTTTTCTGTTTTGAAGAATGAAAAATATCACCAGAATTCTAAAAAAAAAAAGAACCAGCGATGTTCTGTCACAAAAGATATCTGAGTAACTTGAAGACTGCGCATGGAGTTAAGGGGAAAAGTGTAAATCAAGCAAGATGTGAAATTTTCAATAGAGGCAACAAGATCACAGACATATCATTGCTACTACCATGTTTGCAAGCAGACCCTTGAGCACTTGAGCAAATTTAAATCGCTAAAGAATGGAAATTAAGCAGACGTAAATGATTTGGTCAGTAAAAATAGTATTCACAACAGATGGAATGATCAAATGAAGCAAAAAATGATTGAGACAGTGATGCACATGGACGTCCAAGAACTGTTTATAATAAAGACGATGACTTTCAGATTGCAGTGATATTAGCAATACATGAAGATTATTGCTCAACATAGGGTTACACAGTAAAGGACAATTATGTAATAAAAGAATTAATGCCTTTATACATGAAAATTAGGGTAGTTACTTGTGTGGTCCTCTGGAATACCTTGTGTAGTACACAAAAATAATGAAAAACAACCGTAAGGAAGCTGGATTGATTTTTAGGATTCTGGTGATATTTTCCATTTTTCAAAACAAAAAAGGCTAATATAAGGGGGCATTTTTACTTACATTTCCAAAAATGAGTTAGCTTACCACCCTAAAATATGTTATTTTGGGTTTAAAAAGTCAGCAGTTATTTCATTATGTTTTGTAAATTAAACAAATTCATTTAGGGTATTTAAGCTGCTGTTAAATTGTTCTTTAATTTTGGTGGCCATTTTAAAAAGCGCCCTCAATTGCCTCCCGAAATCTTCACATTAATAACTTTAGATAGTTCTACTTTACTCCTATCATTACATATTCAAAAGTTGGTCAAACCTACCTCTTCTGTGCTTATTTTACCCATATATATGTAGTTTATTGGATTTTGGCGGCCATTTTGAAAAAAGCGCCTTCACGCGAAAGTTCTCAGGTTACGCCTCTTTTACTTCACATATTCTGATTCCCCATAAAAAACTGGTCTAGAAAAACCATATGAGAATTTCTACCTCTCCAAGTGGCACCTATCTCACTTATAGCCTGGTCTATATAGCCAGTGGATAACAATAGTGGATAACATTAAAATATCAATTGGGGGGGGGGGGTTAAAGCAACAAACTGGTTTCGCTTATCATTTCGCAAACTTTTGGATATATAATCATATATACATTACAGTAATACACAAATTATTTATATATATTAAAAATTTATTAGCCACAAGGCTTCAAACTGCCAATACAATAACATATTACTGTACAAATTTTCTGCTGTATATAAACGTATTCATACAAAAATGGTATTTTTGGTATTATTCTGGTTCATAGATGTAGAATTTTGTTAAAACTTCAGAACCAGATGAATCTATTCAACTCTAAAATATGTAAAAGCTATTTCAGAGTATCAAATTTTATTTGACAACATATGACATGACTATATATGGGCATACTGCAGTTTTTTGTTAAAGAAAATTTGAAAATCTGGACAGAGCTCGAAGCCAGACAAAGACTGCGCCAGCGGAAATGCAATGAGCTGTGCGCAATGGATAGTTTTCAACGACGAATCACTTGGACTGCCAATGATAGAGTACGTATCGCGTTGCCAAGCGTTAAAATAGATTGGAGATTGATTCGTTATGATGCTTGACATTGTGTTCCCAGTAAAGCCCTGTTCAGACGAATCACTAGGACTGCCAATGATAGAGTACGTATCGCGTTGCCAAGCGTTAAAATAGATTGGAGATTGATTCGTTATGATGCTTGACATTGTGTTCCCAGTAAAGCCCTGTTCAGACTATCAAATTTTATTTGACAAAAGCATGTGACATGCTTAAATTTAAATGGTTATAATCACATCACGACCATATATAGGCACATCATGACCATATATAGGCACATCATGACTATGTATGGTATACAACAGATTTTTGACAACGGAAAGTCGAGTGGACAGAGATTGTCGCATAAATTTAGAAATTGTTTCTGCATAACATCGTTCTGGTTGGCTTTAAGTATCTATTATGTTCTTAACTGCATAGATAAATCTCGCATTCAAAAATAATATACTAAGTAGGCTGCAGCCTAAAAAGTCAAAATGTGACTGTAAACAAAAAAATTTTGTACTTTGTACGATTTCTTTTATCTACTTTATATGCTCATGAGGCTATAATTACACAATAGTTACAAGTAAACTGGCAGAGTAAATGTTTTCTTTACAATAATCATATGGCAAAACAGCTTTCTGAAATGGACATTCACAACTTATAACATACTGTATATCATATCATATATATTATTTATATAGGCAAAAACAAAATTATAGAAACCTCTAAAAAGTACACTATGGCTGACATAGTGTAACAGGATAGCCAAAAAATTTTAAAAAAAACAACTTTTACTGTCCAGGGGCTCGCAATCAACAATAGACAGTTTCGGCCACTAAGCCCCGCCCTTGGATATTTTTGCTAAGGTACCTCAAAATGACAGAGTGGGACATGGGACAAGCTGACCAAGCCCTGCTCTGACTGGTCGGTTGTTAACTTTAATTGACATTTTAGAAAGGTCAATTGCAGAACAGGCCTGTATCCATTAAGGGGTAGGGGGTGCTATTTTCTGTAAAGGAATCTGAAATCTTTACATTTTAACCAGCAATCTATCGTTAAGCCAGTATTCGGGCAATAAAGCTACCATAGTAATGGAAAATCAAAACTGGGATCCAACCGGCTCTAGCCCTCCCCTGACCCCAGTTGATTGACCCTGAATACAGGCCTGTAGAACAAAGGCCAGTCACCAAGGTACAACTTTGCTTAATTTCAAAGGTTATCGACAACTGAAGATTAACACAACAAAGCTTTAAAAACCTAATCAATAATGAAACTTCAAATTATCTCAAACCATTGTTTTTAAAATCAGTAAATCTAGTCTCTATAATTTTCTTGGATTAAAAAATCTGTTTCATTATTCCTTACATCTTTCCTTTGTGATGAATCGTGAGACGTCCAACTACCTGCCTCTGGATAGAGGAGCCAATCGCGTATATGGGATTCATGCTCAGCTTCAACCTCATCTTCCTGAAACCGGAGTATACCATGCGGCGATTGCATTCGTGGTGTGTTATCTCCGCTAATTGTTGTAGTAGGATGCGGACTAAGTACTCGGGTATCTACCGTTGATGATGTCATATGGCATTTCATGTAGTCGTCTTCAATGAACTCACCGTGGGCGCCAGCTCCACTGTCACGAAAACTATTATTCTCAAAACAATTTGTTTTGCGTGGTTCCTCCGACTCAGACTCTGAGGACGATGAAAACTGGATTCTACCGGGCTCAGTTGGTAGTGATCTAGAGTCTGGTGTTTTATTTTTATCAGTAGGTTGTGTTGAAGGAATGTAACTATCCATTACAAAGTCCGAATCTGTATCTGACTGATCCGATGCGGCGCTAGCAGAGTCATCATCAAGCTCGAGCATAACGCTTATCCACCCTGTAAACGAAAATATAAATTTAAGGTTTTTAAAACCATAACTTCTCTGCAAAAAGTACATGATATTGTACACTTATTCAAACACAACAATATTGTGGTCTATTTACGGTAGTACAGTACAGTAAGTCTCTGGATGTTCTCTGCAAAATTCAAGACATTATGCTGAGGTCTTAAAAAAAAAAAATTAAATACTGTAGAAGTGTGATTGCGAGGCATCCAGACATCAGAAAACATCAACATTTCAGCTTACTGTAAGTAAACTTCAGGGTTGGAATTTATTACTGTAAATTTACAGTGACTGACTATGGTAGCACCTTCCAAATCACTGTTTCAAAAATCTTATACAACAAATTTTTTGGCACTTACTTGTCAACTTGTAAAACTTCAACTGAATTATGTTAATAAATATCATATATGGTTTCTACACTACCGTTAACAACTGTAGTATTTAAAGTATTATTACTTGAACGTTAATATTTTAACTTCCTAGGTACTAACGTACTATACATAAGGGATCATTCACAATTATCAACATTTTCGCAAGTGTAGAAACAGTAGTCTTTTTGGTACCCCCTCCCTCCCCTCTGAAAGTTTACATAAAAAATGTTGATTTCGAAAAAATCATTATGATTTTTGTGTGATGTTAACTACACCACTTACTTGGTTTTCAAACTATGTCTATTATATCCATGGTTGCATTATAATTGGTCATAAAAGTCTATTATTTTGAATATTGCATGATATTTTGAATCAAGATTTTTAGACACATGTAAAAGTGTACAAACTTGTCTACCACCTTCCCCCTAGCGTACTGTTTGTACACTTGTGAAAATGTTGAATATTGTGAAAGACCCCTAAGCATGCAAATCACATTATTACAATCACAATTTATAACTCTCTGAAGTAAAACAAGTTGTAATTTTAAAAGTTCACAACAATAACTAGAGCAGTCACTCCATAGAGTGCATACATCCGCCTTGTGCCTGAATACCAACAATACACAGGCTGTGTATGATACGTGAAACTGCAGCATACCCTCATGGAAATAATGGAATTGTCATAATTCAGGCACGTTATTTTCTTGAGTGCTCCCTGAATACGAGGGTCGATTCCATTATTTTCTTTTATGCAGGGTTAATAAATTAAATTTCCGTGACCTTTAACTTTGACCTGTCTTCCAAAAATTGATAGGTTGTTGGTCATTATTATGTACCATTCTACTAAATTTTATGATGACCCATTAATTAATTTTTGTGTAATCTTGCTAACAGAAAGACAGACAGCGGTGAAGACATAACTTCCTTTGGCAGAGGTAATAATAAAAACAATATACAATATCAATAAGAATAACCAACAATAATAAAAATAAATATCAGAAACCCTTCTAGCACATTTAAAAGAGCTGTTGGTGATTAGAATGCTTGACATCTCATCACAGGATCTAGTTATAAAATCTATGATTATCGCATATATGCGAGAATATATTACGCTTTTTCTCTATAAATCTATTAAAAAATGTAATACTTTTTTCTCAACAGGAATGCACACCTTACAAAATATTACTCAATTAGCAGAAATTTTATTACTAGAGATTAGGAACCAATTTTCAGCCTTAGCCCAACTCTAAACCTCAAGTCACCTGTTATTTCAATATTCCAAGGTGGAATATATGAAGTTCATATACATTAAAAACTGTTTCAGAATAATTATGAATTATTAATGAAACAAGCCTGGGATGCCGTCATCCGATGTCACAACAAGGTTGTTGGATCAAAAATATTAATTTGCCTATTCAATTAGCTATCACAATTTTGAGTCAAACTAAGATACAAAAAACTCTCCCCATGAACCCTGTAAGTGATTTTAATTCCCTTGATTCTGAACCCCTATCAGACTTTTTGGGCACCCTGTCGGCAAACTGGCCAGAGTACAGAAGAAAAGCAAATACAAAATTAATGTATAAAAAATACTGTTAACAAAATGATGAAACTAAAATATTTGCAAAAATGAATAAATGTTGCTGTGATTAAATTAAATTTTTGTTTCAAGTATAAAAAGAGTGAGGTATATGCATGTAAAAATACGTAAAAGAAAAGTATTTTAACAGCAGCAAAAATACATAGCAAAAAGTGCTTCATCTGACAACAACAACAATAGACTTGAAACCCAAGAGTGTACTGTGTTCATTGACATGCACATGGGCCATATTCCAAAAGGCGGTGCACTATTTTATAGTTACTTCAAGCCTCCTGCTGAAACACAAGGAGTGCTGAACCGGGCACCATAAGTTTACAATAGATCGTTGGGATTCTGTACACATGTCACCCTGGCTAGCACCATTTTGAATATGTGTGTGACCATGTTTCTAAAGGAGCCTAAACATGTTTTAAAATAGAGGCAAAAAAAAATATATTTTCAAAGTAAAATTAACCCTGAAGAGAAGGTTGAATTGACATAGTTCGATGACGTGGACGCCTAAAGTGTGGGTCAAAGTAACGTGATAGTCCCAGTATAGAGGAATGCAAACCTGCAAACAGTTGCCCGCAAAATGACCTGGTTGTATTTTAAACCTCAATACACGCCCTAAAATTTCCTTAAATATATACCATGTGAAATTTGGATGATTTTTATATGCTAGCAACATACGTTAACATGCCTGCTTATGAAAAATCACCCTCTTAACATGTTTTTGGTCACACACATGCATTCTCTAGGTCATGTTGAGTGACCCTCTAGGGCTTCAAATGATAATATCATTGGGGTAAACAATATATATAATATTAGCAAAGGGAGGGGCAAAAGTACACAATTTTACTAATTGGGGACAACACATTAAATTACGTTAGTAGATGAAGGGGAATAAACAACAAAAGATATTACAGTATATTGAAAAAAAGTGTTAATCAGCAAATAAGTATTATATTGCATGCATAGTGGTATTGGAGTAAACACGCCATGTGATCACAGTGATCCAACGATGCACCAGTACAAGAAATGTGTCATTTTGTATTTGTGCATAATAGGAAAATAAATCCTGCAATAGTAGATTCAGGACTTTTTTTATACAGAGATATAAAAAGAAATGACAGCTGTATTCAATTTTAACAGATATTTTTGTTATAGTAAGAAAGACACTATTTTGAACACTCTAGAAAATGTTGATAGTCACTGGAATTCAAGGCCCTTTGGATGTGTACCCAGCTTGGCTTTAAAAATAACTTGTATAGAATTGGTTGTTCAGTACATGAAACAAAGCATGCAGACATGTCACTGAGAAAACAGTACCATAGCATGCATTTGTCAGTCCATACAACATCAAAAGACCATGAATGCAACCATAAAATATCCACACATCAAGCATACAACTGAACAAGACACAACTACTATATATTATAAAGAAGCTTAAAATAGTTATTTGGGCCACACAAGTACAGCTTTGCATTCTAATACTGACCCCACAAGCCCTCGTTTTCCTGTATAGAAATGAAAAACAAGAATGAATGAAGCGTGGCTTATGGAGACTCGATAAAACAAACAACAGATATTATAGAGGGCAGTATAGCTTATTACCTGCCATCACTAGCATGTTTATTTTCAACAAGATGAAAACAGAAAATTTGAACTAAAAACTAAAAATATTAGACCAATGTAATGCTTCTTTTCATGCAGTTGATAAAATATGCCTGGAATTTGCAATGAAAATGTGTAGAATGCATACTCATTTCTATTAATTAGTATTATAAAATTGAATTTATTAGACCCAAAGTACTGCCAATTTCGTTAACTATCAAATGAGATACGAACAGACACAATCTGCTGTAGTTTAGAGGAAGAGTACCAGACTACTTATCTGGAGGTTGTTGCTTCGACTCCCACCCAAATCATTCCCAAATTTTTTTTCACAGATATTTGGGGATATATTCAGAAATCAGTGAGATAACAGTTGGGCAAAACATCATTCGTTGAGTTTCATTATGCTAACATCACTTGAAATAAAAATATATAAAATACCAAAATGCAGTATTTTAGAGTTATTCCACCATTATCAACATAATCTTCTCTGTAGGGATGATGAAGCATGCACAAGGCAAAATCAGGAATAAAAGTGCACAGTAACTAGCAAATACAAACATACCTTTTGTGTTCTCTTTAGGTCAAATCTGAGATTGATTTAAGGTGAAAAAGGGGAAACATTGGTTAACAACAAGACTCAGGTACATTAAAGCAAACTGTTTATTTTATTTAACTTTAGTTCATCTCACATCCAAACAGCAGATGGAATACAATTAAATATTATTTACAATTTTAATATACAAAAAAAAATCAAAAACTTCCAGAAATAAAAAGCAAAAATGTAACTGAAAAACAAAAAAGAAATAAACAATAAGGGTACCAACTTGCACAATTACAAGAAGTTAAGATGCTATAGCAGCAACTTTGGCTAAACGTATAACAATGTCCTGGACTGATGAACTTATTTATTAACACAACTTTTTTACGCCAATAAACATAACTGTACAGCCCTGTTCACACTGTGAAATTATATTTGACATGCCTAAATATGGTCATGATGACATCACATCAATACCATACATAGGCACATCATGACTATATTTGATTTTCGTTGAAGAAAATTCGATAATCTGGACAGAACTTAACATGTGTAAGTGTGATGATAAGAATATCACATCAGTGGCTTAATTTTATACATTAACGCCTGTATTCTTAAAACAAACTTTAGTCGAACTTCGAACTTCATTTAGTGCTAGTTGGACTTCAACTTTAATTTGTATTCAACAAACGACGTAGTCGAAGTTTTAACTACGACTAAATCAAGTCCTAGTTTTAGTTCAACTGAAGACAACTGGCAAGCCACGACTATCAAACTTAAACCAATGAAAAGGGCTAAATTTAATAGCAGACAAAATTTTAGAGATCCGGTAACGCGGATGAATATTAAGCTGCCGTCTGTGGTTCAAATTCGTATTTCCTCATAATTCATAATTGACCATCATTCGCTTAATAAATTTTCTATAATAATAACATATTACGATAAAGAATTTGAACAGTCACTGAAAATTTGCTTTCTTTGGAGAACTATTATAGTTGAGCCCGAGCGAGGTAAATATTCCAAGTCGGCGATTTAGCCTGACCCTAGGCTGACTAAAAAAATCGTCCTGCGGAGGTATCATTTTAGTCGAGGTTCACATCATTTAGTCGTAGTGATAGTCGAAGTTCGTTTTAAGAATATGAAATGACGTAATTTTTAAGTTTTAGTTCGAACTACAGTAGAACCTCGTTTTTACGTACCCCAGTTATACGAACCCTCCGTTTTACGTACGCCTCGTATCGACGATGACGTCATCAAAAACCCCGAAAATATTCAAAACAAACGGCCCTTTTCAGAGCAACCATAAGTAAAAAGACTATTACAATAAACTATAACAATAAACAAAACCATAATAATGCAACGTATTTTCATTAAACAACAATATTGATTGAGTCTAACACCAAGTTGTTATAATCTAAAACCACGTGAACCACGTGAACCGAGTGAGATGAACAACTACCGATGGTGCTCAAAATAATTGCTTTCCTCCTTAGCTTCGTGTGGCAAACCATGGAAACACTTGTCTGGTCGAATTTTCTACACGAAGCTGAATAGGCATAGTTTCGTACACGAACGCTAATTGGTTGGCTCGCCCAGTGCAGTGAACATGGTTGCTGTTTCACGTACACGAACGCTAATTGGTTGGCTCGCCCAGTGCAGCGCACATGGGTTTAGTTTGTCTCAACATATGTTGTTTAAAATAGGCATGAAGGAGAATTCCCAAGTTATATCTTTGTCGTATAGGTAATCTTACAATATTTTCATGTTCTTTAGTTAAATAAAAGATATAAAGTGATGAATTATTACACTAGACACACGGTTTTATTTGAACACTCTATTATGACATCGTATAGTGATGAATAAAAACACTAAACACATGGTTTTATTCGTAGGCCTAGAGGCTTGCTTTAGCCTAGCTAGGTAACATCGTTCGTTCATACACACATGTATTGAGTCTTACGTACGTATTAGGTCAAAGGTTACCACAAATTTAACCCAACCTCTATTTTACGAATCCCCCGGTTTACGTACGCCCTCCGGTCCCGTGCCGTACGTAAATTCGAGGTTCTACTGTATAACTAAAGTTTGTTTTAAGAATACTGGGGTAAATCTACAGAAACTTAAGTATAACAACTGAGAATAAAAAAATACTTTATTGACAATGATCAAACAAGTAAACATTGAAACATATATTTTTAATTTAAAAATAATAATGAAAATCAAACAATAGATGAATTTGAACTAATCATAGTGTGGTTCCTGGCATATTTAGAGAGAAAAAAAAAACAAAAAAAAAAAAACATAACTATCTTAATAATATATTACATACAGTTACTATTTAAAATGAATTAACTATTTTACTGTTCATATAATTAGTGGTTTACTTACTTTCTAACTTCTTCAGGAACATATATGTATTCCATTGGAACAAGCTGTTTTAATTCATCCAGTTGATAAACAAACTTCAATTTGCTACTAAACTTGGAACTTAAAAAGAAAAAAAACAGCATAAAATGAGATGGAAAAATTAGGGTATAATATAGCAATATATTACAAAATCACTCAAACAATATTCTATCAGAACCTTAATGGTACCCTACAGTTGAATTACTGGGTGGGGATAAGTGGGATATAGAAATATTAGTAGAAGTATAGTCCCTACTCTAGGATGAATATTTTTACTGAAGTGGGGTAAGTGGGTCATAAGGACCTTAGTTGAATATAGTCCTTCCCCTGGGGCTTAATCCCCATCGGACAGACCAGGTCCCCATCAATTGGTTGGTTAACCATGACTTGTCAGATAAAATGAAAATTTATTGAGCATAATAAATTCTATTCAGTCCCGGAAAAATTTAAATTTGATCCAATTTTTTGCAAATTCTCTGCGCCAGAGGGGTTTCACCCTGTGGACCCCCAAAGATTTTTTGTCTTTTTACCCTGACCGGTGCCCTGTGGTCTTCTTTTTCTTATTAGACTGCTTTTAAATGTACCTAAGAACATTGGTACCCAACCTGGGGTCCGTGGACGACCAAGGTAAGAAAAACAATTGGGGAGCCGCCATGTCAAAAGGGTCTGCAGAGGGTCTGCTGTACTTTTAGACCAATATTTCATGATTCTATTATTTTTCTCGTATTACAATGGTGTGATAAACATCTTACTGCTAAAATTTGGAACCTTATCAAACACAAAACAGCTTCGATATTGTACTTTTGTGGTGAATCATCTATCTATAAAATCTTACTATCTTATTGGTGTAATATCGAAATTAGACTTTGGGGTCCGTGAGGACTTCTCTAACACATCCCGAGGGGTCTGTGAATGCAAAAAGGTTGGGAACCACTACCTTAGGGCCACCACTCCCTAGGAGACCTAGTCATTGTAAGCTTTGCTTTGTATATTCCTTTGTTTTCTTTTTTCAAGCGAACCCAAAATATATCACGAATATAAAGATGACAAAAAATTAATATTAAATTAATATTGATTAAATATAAGACTAACCTGATAAACGGTTTGGTGAATCCCACCACTGTCTTTAGCCACATTGTTGGGTGCACTATGTACAAACCTTTCAGATTCTTCCTTAATCTTTAAACAAATTAAACATTAAATATTAAAAGCATAAATAGAATATATAATATTGCTATACACAGTTTGTTTATCCAATAAGCTAAGATTTCTAATGGCTTGGGGAATCATGCATACATTTATAGGTGCTATTTCATGAAGATCCAGGGGGTGGCGAGCTTTGAATAAAGTGTTTCGAAAGTGGTCCAGAGAGCAAAGCCCCCAAAAATTTTGACCAATTTAGTTGTTTCAAAGGCTTATTTAATTGATGCATACTACTAATATGTAGAAAATACATACAATTTTTTTTCTTCCCGACGAATTATATCTTTTAAAATATTCAAAAATATACTATAAATATTGACAGAGATAAAGAGGCTATATATAACACAAAAAATGTAAAAATGAAATATATTTTATACAGTAGTTTGCTAGCAATGGATGTGCATGTATCAAAAAAAAAAAAAAATCAACGTGATGATTAAACATAGAAATCTTTGTAATTTTGATTGGATACCCACAGATGTCTGAACAGTTATTTCCTTCTCTAGTGGTTATTGGGCAGTACAATGGGAGACAATCCCCTACTCTTCTGAACAGTTTACTGCGTTTTTTAACATACACATGGGTCATAATGCACACAGGATCAACAGCTTTATCATTGCATTTCAGCCATACAGCTGAGAATAGAAGCACTTGCAATTGAACTAAATAATAAAAAAAAAACATTTAACTCCGAAAAGGGACATGTTGAAGGTTCAACTTTTTGGTCTACTTGATCATTTTCAAGAATCGTGATGAGAAAACCTTATCAATCCACATACATTTATAAAGCCATAAGTGGAACAATAGTAATTAAAAACAGACCAATCATGTAAAAGCAAAATTGTTCTTGTACCAAAGGTGAACAATGGATCTCCACAGTTCAGTGCACACTCATTGCTAACAAACAGATACTGTGAATATGTGTCATCAAACCTTCTATCAATTAGTTTGTAACAGCGCCTCATCCATGCCATTCCTGGTACCTTCCTTCGGGAAGCAGCTCCATGAAAATAGACTATCATATAATCTTGAGCAACAAGTAGCTCCAATGTACTTACAATGTACCTAACAAAAATATTTTAAAAAAACCAAAAATAAATTAAAAAGCACCAAAAATGTCAAGAAGGAAATGAAGCTTGGAAAGTAAATAAAGTCCATTAACATTTTAACTTGAAAACATTTCATTATGAAAACAAATTGATACTGTACAAAGAAAATGTAACAGAAATATAGGTTATATAAAATGGTACATTATTAGTAGTTGTAATTAATATTACTATTATTATGTGAAAACACTGGCATAGCAGTCAAACTTAATTGGGCTTTCCAGGCGATGAAGACTGAGGTGGGTCACTTGTTACTGTGTCCACTTCAATAGTGAATGAATGAGAATTGACCTGTGTCATACAACTGATTTAAACATATTGAACATATTTAATTATTATTAAGATTATTCAGTCTTCATTGCCTGAAAGCCCATGTCTGAACGAGAATCGACATGTCATAAGACTTGATTCAACATATTTAATTATTACTAGGCTTATAAGGTGGAAATAATAACACAATCTTACAGCACATTTCTTTGGTGTTAAAATTAGTGTTAGTATGAATGAGCACTGACCTTTCAGAGATTCAATTCAACATTAGTAGGTATAAAGGTGAAAACAAAATAACATGACATTACAGCACACTTGAAACAAGTGTTAGCATGGAGGTATAAAATGTGAATAGTGATCGAATGATAATGAACCTGTCATAGACTTGGTTCTAGGACAGCTGTTAAAATATTTGTAAAGTATCCATTGAGACAATTAAGTCAAGTAGATTCATTTTGTCAGTAGAGGAGCATACACCAAAACGATAATCTTTTATGCCAAATCAGAGCCAGATCTAGGAATTTGTATTAAATTGGGCCCAAGGAGGGACTTCTAGTGCAGATGGTGAGTCTAGACTACAAATAATTGGAATTGGACGGAAGAAATTTAATATTTAATCTTTAATGTTGGGGGCTGAGATACAAAACTTTATGCCTACGGCACCTCATGATGGCCAGAAATGGCATGCTTAGACATAACTTTTAATAAAATTTTCCTTTCTTTTCAGTAATAAATAAAAATATATGAAAATTTAGAGGGAGCTAGTTCCTAGAATCTGCCTATGCATGAAATACTGTAGTAGTAGGAGCAGTTGGAAAAACACTTGCAGTTCTGGCTGTAAACATTGAGGTCATGGTTCATTTCCTCACTGTGCATTTTGCTTGCATCTTGGGCAAGGCACTTTACTATGGTTGTTTCTCTCTACCCAGAAGAAATGGGTACATGGGTATAGGCTCGAAAATCAATGCACTAAAGAAGTTGCAACTTTATGGCATTCTCAACATGGAGAAGAATATGTGCTATAGGTGTACGATCCAACGACCAGGGTAATGCGATATATATATAAATCTGGCATAATATTATCATTATACATGTCACTGATGTTTTCTTACATTAGTATGACTCTCGCTTTACTCTTGAATTTTGAGTGCTGTAACCATGTTAATGTATGTTTTATTGTCGTAAAATATTGTAAATTACTTGTGAACTGAAACTGTATGCCGTCCCATATGCTCACGTATTTTTGCCTTAAGTCTGTTTATACAGTACATTAGTTTAAAGAAAATACTTTGAATTCTACGATCAATCTTCTTTAATGTAATACTTTCACACCATTCTAATTATTGTTGGTGTTGATACTATTATGAATATTGTTATCATTTTATTGTTAGATATATTCCTTGTTTAATCATGTCATAACATACATATATATGGGCAAATCGCAGTCATTTGCCTACTGTACATCCCACTGGGTTCTGTACTTAGAACATAGCCAGGGTAGAACCGAAGAAGCCTATAGCCAAAGGCAAGCAGACTTCTTTATTAAGCCACTGTATAAAATCCAATTAAATTCTGACTTACAGAAATAGATTGTCCATCACATAGTTATAGTCTCTGCGAGTCTTGTCTGGCATGTAACATGATGCAAATACAATTATTGCATTCAATCCATCACCATAGTAACCTGAAACAAATAAAATGCCCAGTCTAATTTTTTTTTGGCTGCAAACAACAGAAATTTACAGTTTATTCAATGGGAATCTATGTCAGCTCTTAATTTTTATTTATCTATTTTATATTTATTTTTAAAATTTTTATTTCATTCTCTACAAGACTCCATTGGCAAGAGTAAAGCTCTGTCCAGACTACCAAATTCTAAGTGACAAAAACATGTTACATGCCTAAATATGGTCATGATGACATCACATCATGACCATATATAGGCTCATCATGACTATATATGGGCATACAACAGTTCAAACAAAATTTTGCAGCTGCATGTGAAAGGAATATACAGGCACATCATGACTGTATATGGGTAGGCACATCATGACTTTATATGGCCATACAACAGTTCAAAAAAAAAATTTGTAGCTGAATGTGAGAGGAATATTTGTAAAATGCTCTGCAAATTTGAAACATGATACATACTTATATTAATGCATACTTGATTTCATTTTAACATGTTATAAATTTGTTACATTTTTTTTACAAGGCAAGTGAACTTCCCTGGTGGGTAGTTACTTTCTATCATATTGCATGTTTTGATAAGATGGACAGTTACCTCCATGTGAAAGCACTTTCCTGTACGGGTTAATGACATTCATATCAATGCTATGCTCCTTTCCCCCAATCGAAACTTTCCTCCAGTTGTGTCTGTCATTAAACTCTTCCTTGGCAGTGTATTCCGGAATAGGCTCTTGGGGAATATTCGGAGTAGCTGCCTTGCTTGATATCGGCGTTTCATCTGAAAGTGAAATTATACAATTTAGAATTTGATTATTGGCATTGAAGATTATGATTTATAAGAAAATACATCAAGAAAGCTTTTAGATAATGGTTTTTAAGAGAGGAACAAACAGTGAAAAGCCAGCAATTAAGAAATGCTTAATGGAATATTTATGGTATGTATTACAATTAATAAAGGCTTTACCCATAACCCTTAAATCAGACCTTAAAATCACACATCAAAAAAACACAACCTAAAATTACAATTACTTAATGATCCCTACACCAGCAAGGCTCATGCTAGAAATATCTTATCCGAAACCTATCAAAGCAGCTAAGGCGGAGAAGTCAGAAGACAACATAGAGGAAATAAGTCATTATTCAATTAATAAAAGGTGAATTTATTTTACCCTCCCAAGACATCTCTGTGCTACTTGGAGTTAAAATGGCCGAATCGTTCGTCGCTGGTGATTGCTCATCCCCTGCGGCTTCCATGTCAAGGTTCAATCCAGCTGGTATGTTCACCTTTTTACGGTGCTTTGGACGAGCACCTCCAACGTTCAATGAAGAAGGTGGGACTGAAAAATTTAAAAAAAACAAAATGTGATTATAACATACTGTATATGACATTGTAATTTTATACATTTTTATATATTTACAAATACCGGTATTTCAAAATATTCTATTTTATACTTTAAAGAAAATTGACCTTTAAGCCACAAGATGTGAAAGGTTTTATAGTTCAATGAATATAAAAAGTGAAACTTTATCATGGTTATCATTGTATCATCATAATACAATATAAAAGAAAAATCACATTTGTGACAGAAACTTGTGACACAAGTACTCTCGGCAAATTACAGGATGGAAAAATAATAAAATTAATAATAATAATATAAGTCTTATATAGCGCATAATACAAAAAAGTTGCCTCTATGCACTTTACATAAACAAACAGAAACATAACCATGATATACCTTAATACTACAAAGAAAACTAATAAAGAAACAGCAGAATAGGCAGAAGAATAATTTTCACTGCTACATTCTCCAGCACTTTGAAACCCCAAAAGTTAGGGGCTCGCTGGAAAAGAACTCACAGGAGCTCTAGGGAAAATGATAACTAGATAGCCTATCCTACATTTTAATAAATAAATAAATAAATAAGATGTCAGAGCAAGATAAACAAGAGGCGAAAATATGGCCAAATAAAAAAAATTTATAGTTTCTCATCCCCTCGCACATCCATTTTCTCTGCCGTACCAATATTTATTTTTAATTTTTTTAATTTCCTTTATTAAGAAATGTAAGAAAATCAGGTAAAATTCCTCTGTCGATCGTTCGTGGTTGGTGATACATATGGTATGAATCATGTCTAGTACTTCTTTTATTTGCTTTCAATGTGTCTACTTTGTAAAAGTGAGAAAATAGTGGCTGATTCCCATCGAGCATCTTAGATTTGCCATCGCGGGAGTGTAAAAAAAAAAGTGCCCTCATTCTCTTTTTTAAAAAATATTAGGACCAGAAACTACTTTTTTTTTTTACTTGGCCTAAATTTGAATACCATAATAACATCATGACTATTGGACATACAACAGTTTTTTGTCAAAGAAAATTTGATAGTGTGGAGATAGCTTTACACACACTTGCACAGATATTTCTACTAGATACCTTCATCTTTAAAACAATAAAAAATTATATATATTGCTAATTTCAGATTACATTTGTTTACTGAGCTTTACATAAAGATTTGATAAAATACAATATTATAATATGCCATATAATACACATCTATTCAAAGAGCCTATGGAATTTGTAAAAAAATGTTATCAAATTATAAAATACAATAATAAAAGCAACGTCATGCACGTGAAAATTCTCATCAACTGAGTCATCATAACACGATAAAATACAATATAAAAATGCAATATTGAACACATCTATTCACGAATGAACACAAACTTTGTCAGTACAATTCATATATTATACCAGATGAATATTTTCAAATTTATATTACAAGTTGATTACTATATACTGTAATTATTATGATTAAAAAGTTATAAGATACCACAGATCTCTCTTTTCACCAAAAGTAATAAATGGGTATCTGATTGAAGTGAACAATTTGGAGTGAAATTATTAACATCATGGTGCAAATCCCTTTAAAAAGTTTGTTCCCTAGGCACCTGATCCCCCAAGCACACCCCCACCTCCCACCCATTAGAAATTTGCTGAGAAAAAGTTATGCTTGAGTTGTTAAAAACACCACTGGCGTGAAGTGTTACTTTTAAAACATGCATTAGACTAACCTAATTAACAACTAAAGGATTTGTTAAAGATAATAAACAACTCCCTCCATTTAAAATACCAATAGGCTCAAACCTATTTTCTCTATGCTCAAACAAACACACTTGCATACTCCATATTTGTGTAATTTTTATCGAATCCTGGATGAACTACCAGCAGATGTGAGGCATGAGTTAGTCATTAGCCAAAGCCATTCCATCGTTGACTTATTGATGACTTTTTTCATTAAGTGAGTTTGTGTCGTGATAATCTTTTGCAATAATATTTTTGATCAAAACATTGTACGAGCATCTCAACTATGAAAGATTGTATGTGTTTTATTGTGTTTAACCATGGAAATTGGAATTATGGAAAATTCCATCGTTGACTTATTGATGAATTGATGACTTTTTTCATTAAAGTGAGTTTGTGTCCTGATAACATTTGAAATAATATTTTTGATCAAAATATTGTATGAGCATCTCAACTATGAAAGAATGTATGCGTTCGTTGTGTTTAACCCTGGAAATTGGAATTATGGAAAAAAATAAACAATATATATAAATATTACAATATGTTACAAAATGGGTTTATAGAAACAAAATATGCATTGAAAATAGATAATTATAATCTGAGTAGTGAAATTCATGAAAATGATATTGAATGAAAACCAATAAATGTATCTGTACGAACATCATCAACAAGAAATGTACGGTGAATAAAAAACACCAAGGGTCGAATAAAAATGAATTGGAAATGTTGTACAATCATAAAGCTTCTGTCCAGGCTATCAAATTTTATTTGACAAAAACATGTGCCATGCCTAAATATGGTCACGATGACATCATATCATGACCATATATAGGCATACAACAGTTTTTTATGAAATAAAATGTTGATTGTCTGGACAGACCTTAAAGACACTGAAGGGATTTGAAGAAATACTCAGAAACGGCTAATACCATAGATTATTAATTGAATACTTAAAAACTAGAGGAAAAGGGGTGTAACAGTATTATGTAATTTTCTTTTTCTCTGTTTTCTATTTGTTTCCTTAATATTGCAGTATATTGAAATTGTCAGCTGGCACTGACAGTATACAAGGTCAATTAATGACAATTTAATTTATTGAAAAATACAACACTGAGTGAACAACTCAAAACAAGCAGTGTATTGTACACATGTCAATGCTTTTTAGAAACAGTCACACTTCACAAACGTTCAAGCATTCTATAAGATAATTTTTAGTTTGAACTTCTTCATAATAGGTTGATATTACATTATTGTTTTTGCTTTAAAAGATTGCTTATTATATCCATACACAAGATTAGTACAGTACAAGCAAATCTGAACACAGTATAATCTAAAATTTGAATCCCTAATATTTGTGGTATTGGCATAGTTAGCCTTACCCATGGCCCCCAAAACAGGGATGCTACAACATTGACACCAACTTATTATATTAATATTAATAAATGCAAGTAAATTATAGCAATAATTAAAGTGCCAATTGTGATTGATTTATATATAAACTTTTGATGACAAACGCTCTATGCAAGTGACAAGGACAGTGAATTTTAGCCTCATACAGTAGGTTTCATTTCACTGCAGTTGTTTTGCGTGGTTAAAAATGGTTCTTCTGATGGTAAAGTTGATTCAGAAAACATGTCATTGATTATTCTTCCTGTATCAAATCTGAGGGTTTCAGGAAGGCTAGTAATAATCTTGTAATTAAAAATATTCGGTACTACTAACTAGTATAATTAGTACTATGTTCACTCACTGGGTAATGGCTGGTCTACAACTTGAGGAAAAATCAAGTCACCATGGTACGCTGCATGAGAAACCTGATCTAAACACAAGAAATTCTGTTCCATTTATACAGTAAAAGTATTAGATATCCAGCTGCTTAACAGCGTAGTCTTGATGTTGTTTAAAATTCTTCAAAACCACTGACTTAACATATAATTCAGTGGTGTTTAAGCTTCATCTACACTGCTACTTGTTCATATTAAAGTGTTTTTTCTGACCAAAATACACCGCTGATCTACCTTTAGTATTGTTGAGACTAGACAAATACCAACACCTTTGATGTATCAATTGCATCGCTGATCTTCAATGGTTTAAAAAAAAAGCATGCTTTTATAATTGCTGCAGAATTTGATTGTGGTTAAAAAAAAAATGCCATGATAAACACGTAGTCGGAAGTAATTAGAATGTAGCATGTTAGCCTATTCCTACACACAAGGAAATAACATACATAAAATACAATCCAATAGACCTACATAGAGCTGTAATATAATATACAAAGGAAATTGTGAATTTGCCACAGGAAATAAAAGGGTCTTTTTTTAGGATTGTTGTGGACCTCCATATATAAATCAAAATCAGAATGTTTCCTCATGAAATGAAAATATACATTTTTTTAAAGGCAATGGCTATTATCAGACCAAAGAATTTCTAATTTTGATTGGATGTTATTGTGTATGAATCGGAATAGGACAGTGATATCCAATCATAATTAGAAATTTGTTTAAAAACTGGTGTAACAATAGCTACTCTTTTTCGTTTTAAGGTAATTCGTACAATATATAACTATTGACATTTAATAATCATTTATATACTGTACAAGTTGCAACAAACAAAAATACTGGTACGTCCTTAATAATAGCTAAATTTTACAGAATGTTTAAAAAGTGAAGGACATTCAATTGTTGTTTTCTTTGTTCTGTCTTGACACTTGGCTATAGAAATGGAAGACCATTACCATAATTAGTATTTTTTTTTTTAAATACATGTTTCCAGATTTGGGTTTTAGCTTCCTAACTTTCCACAATAATGCTGCCATTGCACCTAACAAATGCATTAAATGAACAAAGTTCTGTCCTATAACTGGTGAATTACTAGATGTTGGGTGTGAAAGCAATGCTAATAAAATGTTTAAAAAAAATGTAATTCTTACCAGGTCTTTCTGCAAACGCACTGTCTGTTGTATCATCCTCTCCTGCATCATCCTCCTCGTCGTCGTCATCTTCATCAACTGGGTATGCAGCATCTAGAACAGCACTGTCAGTAGTAAGACGGCGTTCTCTCAATGAATAGTCCGCCCTCAGTGTTGCTCCATCTAATGCCACTATCTTGTCATCCAACTGCTCTTCCTCTTCAATGTTGCTCTCCATCATTGGCACTGTCCGCTCAAAGAAGGAATCCTGCGAGGTAAGCGTTCCTGATTGACCTTGTAACTTCTGATGCGAGTAATCATCATCTTGCCACTCCTCGTTGATCGAAACACCTGACATTCGGATTTTAGCAGAGAATGACGCTTCAGATAATGTCTTGTCCAAAGTTTTGGGTCGCACATCCTCTTGTTCCTTCTACAAGACAACATTGTTAGAAACTTCAGGGACCAAATACCAATTTTTTTACAATGTATACTTGGTGTTGAGCTTAAATAAACATGAACTATAAAATACAATATAAACTGCATAATTTGCATACTTTACATCAACTGAAAATTATAGTGAAAAACTATTTCCTCATAAGAATAATTTTTTTGTATCAATCTGTAAAACTGACAGGTAAACCTATTTCAGGATTTTCATAGGAAAAAGAATACAGTGTAAACCAACAAACAAAAACATAATGTTTGTGTCTCATGAAGTTAGAAACTTATTTGATCTACAAAAAATGATCAAATGTGAAAGTGGATGGTGCAGCAGTTGCACTTTCCACTCTCAGAGGTATGAACCTTCACTGTGAATTTTGCTTGTGTCCTTGGGCAAGGCACTCACCTAGGTTTATCTCACTCTCTCCACTCACCAAGGAGTATAAATGCGCACTTGGTAGATGATGTGGCATTGAATGTCAATATAGCAAGTTCACGACTAGGAATACTGGCCTGGGAGTGGAGAAGGTTGCATTTTGTGCTGGTTTGATTATGGACCCAATGACCAGGGGTAAAAACAACAATCGCCATAAATAAATAAATATCTTATTATTATTATTATTAGTCAGTGTATATTTAATTATTTGATATTTTTCTACATTTTAACACAATCATTTTAAAATACTACTGCTTTTTTAAACTTTAATTAAGTGCTGAGACAGAGAAAAGTATAATGTAACAAATTTTTACCTCATTTCGATAAGCATACAAAATGTATACTGTACCTCACAAGGGAAACGTTCGCGCAAATAAACACATTAACAGCTAAGTAAACATATTTCTCAAAGGGAATGTGAAAACTGTAACCTGGATTTCAGACTTCTCTAGTGGAAACAGGATCAAAATATCTGAATGGAGTTGAGGGAGGGAAGGATCTTTAATGCAGAGTGATTGTCCACCGATCAAAATTAACTGGGTCAAACTCTTACCTTAATCTCAGCAGACATGGCTATTAAACTATAGTTTTAATTAAATGGTGACTATTACTTGGATGGCATATACTGTACACACTGTGTGTGATAGCTATCAGTTTAACATTAACAGCAGCTGTGTTTAACCTATAACCCCAATCAATGATTTGTACTCATTTTGAGGGTCAATCATATTTAAGGGTTTTCAAAATAATTGCTTTGCAGTGTTCCAAATTACACTGACAGTTACAATCATACTGAAAGGCTATTAGGCAATTGAAGTAAATTTGCTGATGCTTAATATGTAGATAGATTATGATATAGATAATATAGATGTTTTACCTCCAAAATTCAATCATGAAAATTGAGGATGAAATGAGACCATTAAAAAAAGATTATGAAATGTGGATTTACATAAATTAATTAGTTTATATATTCTGATGAATATTGGATAATGTACTTATTTTAAATTAAACAATTATATTTTATATGAAGAAACAAATATTTGTACAAAAGTTAAATGATTAAAATCATTAATTTGAAATTGAAATACTAAATGTGAATTTAGTTAAATTACTTTATATTCTTTATTTTTTATGAAAAATAGATAAGTTATATTACACTATAAACAATCATACTTTATACATAAAGAAAAAAAATAATTGTAAAAAATTTAAAGGATTAAAATAAATAATTTGAAATTTGATACTATACTGATGCAAAATACAATTTAATTATTTTAATGTATGATATAAATTTTAAAATTATTAACATAAATATGTTAAAATACAGATTTTATTTTCCAAATTAACAATAAAGTGCACAGCTACTTTAAATTTCATATTTAAATATTTTTGAAAGTTGAAATACTGCACTGATATAAAATTAAATTTCATTATTTCAATATAAATGATGCAAATTTTAATATTATTAAAACAAATGTGTTAAATGAAAGGTTTATTTTTTAAAATAATAATATTAGTTTAATAAAGTGCACAGCGATGTGTTGATGCACTTGACATTACTACCCATGTCACTGGATCAAATATCATATGGAGCACATACTCTGTGGGGATGCATTCCACAATGATGTAGCTAGAATCAGTTTAATATCCAAGCCTACAAAGTATCCAATTAGAGAGAGAGAGAGAGAGAGAGATAAAATGCCTTGCACTTGGACTCGAACCAGGATCTTTCCGCCAAAAGGCCAACAATTTATCACTGTGCCACAAACATCCATTTACAAATTAGAGCTCTTAGAGAACAAGCAACACATAATATATTAATGAATTTCAATGAATATTAATTCAATTATTTTGAAGTAGAGAATTAGGAAATTTAGGCTGGCCATTGTGGACTGGCAATGGCCACTGCAGTGCAATGCAACTCCTGGTATTGAATTGGGTGATATACTGGGAGATACAATTTTCAGTTCTTTTACGAAGGGTGCAATGATTTCTTTCATCATAACCAATAGCCTTTGTCTTCATTACAGATTGTGTGGCACTATACAGGTATTTTTTAAGGACAGAATACGACCAGGAACACAAAGTTCTGACAAAACATCAGCATCTGTATTCTTCTCTTGGTCATAATATAGTAAATAAGAAATGTAGAAAAAATAATGTAAATTATTTTACCATTTTCTGTCTTTCTTCAGCTTTTGCAAAGATATCTGAATCCTCATTCCAGTCAAAGCTGATCTTCTGCTTGACATCATCATCAACTACCACCGGCTTCTTTGGCGTACTCTCATGTGGCACAGAGGATTCTAGTGTTCCCACAATGTCCACCTCTTCATCAGGTGTAAGGGCATCAAAACTGAGACCACTTACAGGTGAACTATAGGAATCATCAATGCTAAGGACACCATCTTGTAATTCGGTAGGTCTCTTTGGAGGCTCCTTGTTAAGGTTGGCAGCTGCTGCTGCCATCTCTTCAATAACATTAACAGCAGAAGATGATCTCTCTCTGGACTCCACATCACTGTCATTATCTTCCTCATCCATATCTAAATCCATTGACAACTCTAATACCTTTTTATTTTCACTGGGTGATTCCTGATTGACATCACTTGCCTCAACAGAATCAGATGGCATGACTTGATCTGACTGAATTATAACTGGTTGTGAGTTGACAGGCGATTCAGTACTGGCAGTTTCAACAACTTCTATTACTCTTTCGTCTTCTAAATCTTCTCTTTCAGGATTATATCTGGTCTCCATGCTAATAATATCACTACCAGCAGCAGAGTTGTGTTCCTCGTGTTGCACTTGTTCATCTGCTATTGATCTTTCAGTCTTCATCGTACCCAGAGCTGCTTCAACTACATGCTCGACAAATAATTCTACAGCCTCACTGTCATTCCTTTCAAGTACTGGTGAAGATCCTGTAACAACATCATCCACAATTCCTTGATTTCTATCAGTGGGAAGGTGAGAGTTAAAATGTTCACTTTCTGGTTGTTCAATCTGTTTTGAAGCCTCCTGCATTAGAGCGTTAACAGAAGTTTCAACTACATGTCCCACATATTCTTCTACAGCTTCGCTGTCAATCCTCTGCAGCCTTGCAGAAGATGTGTCTGTCTGGATATCATGATCATTATTAAATTGTCCATTAACTGCTCCTTCTTCCATATTTATTGTATTGATAGCATCACCAACAACCTGTTCCACATATTCTTCAACAGCTTCACTATCAACTCTTTCAAGAACATGAGATGATGTTTCTGTTTGACTATCATTATTCCTAATTTGAGATGCCGGTGTTTCTTCACTTGCATCGTAAGTGACTTCCTCTTTATGCTGGGTGGGTGGATGTTTCACTGCACTTTCTTCTTCTTTATCATCATCATCATCATCATCATCGAAGTTCATAGTTTCTACTTCCTCAACCACAATGTAAGGAACTTCAACTTCTTCCACAGAATTGCGTCTTTTTTGCACCTCATCTATGATAATTGCAGGAATCAATGTTTGACCATCCTGTCCATGATTTTCTTCTACTCCATTTTGTATCACTGGTTGCATTAAAGGCTCATTAATATTCGGAACAATGTCCATAGTAGATTTGCTAATATTAGTTTTATCATCAATATTTACATTGTCCTCCTCAACTTCCTCCTCATCTTCCTCTTGAATCTCAGTAATTGCATGATGCACTGCATATTGAGGAATCTCATTAAGGGAATAAGAGTCCCCACTTGAGGAGTCAGATATGTCATCAGTAAAGCTGGCAGAACCTTCACTACCACAACTTGTAGTCCTCGATTTGTTGGCACCAATTGGAGAATCAACATTTTCAATTGGGGATGATTTATCACTTGTTGGGCTTCTGTCTTGTTGATTGCTGTTAGAATTTTTACTATTGTACAAGGCAGTATTTTCATCAGTATTAAAGGACTTTTGTTTCACATCTTCCAAGCCATTGATAGCATTTGAATCATTTTCAAATCCATTTTCCTCCCAACTATCAGGATGACTGGTATTACTTGTGATAACAATGATGTTATCATCACTTGGAGAATCAAGTTTTTGGACCATTTTGAAGAGTTCATCATGATCAAAGTCTTTATTTGAAGCACTCTTCTGAAGTTCACTCATGTCTGAATATGAATTCTGTGGAGTCGGTGGGACATGTTTGGGAATGTAAGAGACAGGCAAATCCTGATTATTCTCCTCCAAACAGTCTAATTTATCAACAAATTCAAAGCTATTGAAACTGCCATTGTCCTCGGACAATTTTGAGTTATCTGTCGTCTGAAGAGTTTGGTCGCTCTTCCCTCCCATCACTGCATCTGATTGTCCTCCTAGTAAATCAAACACACCAGAAAATTTAGTAGAGTTGTTTGATACTTCCTCACTGGAGCTTTCAACTGGATTAGAAGCTACAGAAAAGGGATCAGCTGTTGACAGACCATTGTTAAACAAATCAGTGGGATATGCTGATTGTAGAGTGGAATCTTGGTTTGTAGGTTTAGAGAATAAATCAAATGGGTCAGCTGATGCTGGAGGTGCACCTAGTAGATCCTCTTGACTATTAAATGAATCTGAGCTTGGAGATATTGTTTGAAAAGGGTCAAATGAACCTGAACTGCTCTGTGGCTGCTGTGGAACTCCAAAGGGATCCAATCCTAACAAATCTGTAAAACCATCCTGTCCAGAAGGTGACAGAGGAGACTTTGGTGTGGTAAATGATGGATCATCTTCTACAATTGTTGCAAAAGGATCAAATGAAAAATCTGAAGACTTTTGTCCAGATTCAAGACTTCCTCCAGCAAGTAAATCAAGACCTCCGAAGGGATCAGTGTTAACCTCTTCCACCTTTTGCGTTTCAAAACTTGTTGTTGCAGGGCTTCCAAAAGGATCAAAATCTAAGAGATTGCTGGAAGCTACATCCCCTCCAGAGAAATCCACAAGAGCACTATTATTAAAGTTTCCTGTGAGGAAATCTGCTTCATTGGATTTTTTCTTATCTAAGAATTCTTGCAGTACAGGCATGACAACTTTCCTGGATACTTTTGAATTCTGTTGTTTGAATAAAGTGATTCCTTCTTCCTCATCATTCATGATCGACAAAAATAGTTGCTGGTCATCTTTCAGATTACTGATCAATTCTTGACATATTGAACTTCCAGGATTGTAAAGGAGGAGCCATCGCTCTGCATTTCCATCGCTGTCAATTGATATTGTCATTAAGATGAGAATCTGCAAATTTCTACTTGTACAAAAGCTTGCAAAATCATCACGCATATCTGGTCGTTTCAGAATTTTCTGGGGAAAAATGAAATCAGATTAAACACTACAAAATCTGTTATAATTTTCATTGACCTCCTATGCCTCAATCATGTGAAGACATTGGTAATTCAGTAAGAATATTTTGTGAAGTTCATCATTTAGTATGTATCTCCTGTAAAATGTTTGAGATGTACAGTAGTATAAGAGACTGCTGATACTATGGCAATTTTTTAACATTTGTTCAGAATTTTAAATATTATTTAGTCAATAAATGTTACATCTGAATACATAAATTTGATAGGGGATGATATTAAAAATATATTTAAAAAAAATTGTACCTCCATCTCAATTGTTATGGAACTAATACCAATTGTTTGTTTTGCATTGTCAGCTCCTCTACTTGAGACAGTTTTAAAATCCTTACGAAGCAAGTCAAAGGTCGATAATCCTGTGAAAAATGATTTAAAGTACAAAAAAAATATTTAAATCAATTGTATCATTTGATCATATTTGATGAGATGAGATAAGATCTATAAAGATAAGTGGGTTGTTCTTATAATAAATTTAGCCACTGAAAAATAGATCAATTATTGGCAGCCATTGACTAGACGATCTAGTTTAGGAGTGAAGTGGAAGTATTTTGGTGTGATATACCAAGGATAACCCACTAAGTCTGAAGACTTGTTTCCAGTGGGGTCCGTCTGGTGTTGAATTGGCCAGTATACCTGGAGACAATCCCCTACCCTTTTCCGGAGAGTGTACTGCATTCTTTAATGTACACATGGGCCATATTGCACACAGGACATCATCCGAAAGATTGTGTGCTATCGTAAATTGTATTTCAGCCCTCCAGCTGAAACACAAGGAGAGCAGCGATAGGAATCGAACCGGGGACCTAGTCACATTCGTCACATATATAGGCATGAAGATGTCATATCAATCCCATATATGGGCAAATCATAGGTATCTGTTGATGAAAACTTGATAGAGAATTAGTAATATAGCATTTCAATAATGAATAAGAATTATGATATAATGCTGAAATAGCTGAAGAATAAACTACTGTCTGTCAATGCTACAGTAAATGTTCGTTTCAATGTACTTTTCGGCATTCAAATAAAAAATACACAGTATCAAATAACTGAAGTTAAGCAAATCCACTATTAATTCCATTTTTTATGATAGAAGCCTATTGGGAAATGTTTATTTAGTAGTTTAGTATCCGAGTTGTATATTTCTCACATTATTAAATTTTCAATGCGGGCCATTAAAACAAAGTACATGTAGTAAATCAATAAATACTGCTGGGACAAACATCTACCTACACTGGTGTAAACAAAACATTCATAACTTAAATTAATATTTAAATTATTACTGATTAATTATTAATTAATTAAATATTGTTTCTTATATGAAAGTAGATGTCCCCCAATAGGATATAAATAACATATGGTAGCAGTTTACCATATGAATGTTTATGTATATGATGTATTTCCAAGAATTTCAGTTAAGTTGTTTTGGGGGAGAGTAGGTAGAGTAAAGGGCAAAGAAATTACAGAAATTTATTTAAATTATTACTGGTTACATTTCTTTCATTTTTTTCTACCTACTGCATCCAGCTCCAAAAAATATAATTCAACTGAAATTCTCCAACAAAGAATACAAAACACCATAGTCATACCTATCACACTATTTATATGATAATTCCTATGCTTTTTATCTCTGATAGCCCAGCAATTTCCAATTTACAAGGAGACTGACTTTTAGAAATGTCTCATTTTCTTTGGTCTAAATGAGAATAGGCCATTAAGCAGTTTGTTTCTTAATGCATCTCAATTCAATATTTTCACTAATAATAGCAAAAACCAACAAGATCAAATGTAGAATCCACATTAATCATTTTTTTTATTTTCAGTATTTTGTTTTGCATCATATTTCTTTTCATTTTATGGTTTATTATGTATTGTTGTCAATATACTATATTTTATTTTATATTTCTTACAAAGGAGTATTCAGTAGCTTGCTTAAGCTCATAGAACTTTAATAGTATGCTTCAAAGCAAGTCTCATGGTGAGGCTTTGAGAGTGGAGCATTTTAATTCATCAGTAAAAATGTTCGGATTTTGACAGGGTCTGAGAAGGATCATGAGATTTGAAGGAAAGCATTTTTAAACACAAGCAACAACTCTACTTATCAATAACAAACAAAGGCTGTTACACTCATCTTCAGTATTTCGCTCCTTCACATCTTTCATACTATTGTTTTATTATAATTTTTTTGCATTGTTACTTGTATAAAAGTTATTATTCCTATCATTATTGTTATAATGTCTTTTATTTTAAAAAAAAAATGATATTATCTGTCATAATTATTTATCATTTAATAATTTCATTGATTTATTAAACAGTCATAATTATTATCATAAAAATAATGATAAAAGTATATTACTAAATTATTAATACACTGACCACACTAGTTGGTCAGTTCATGTGATAATACACTGTTGTATCAGTCAGAATAGGTTAATGTTAAAAGATAAAATATAGTACAGTAGAACCCCTCATTTACGAACCCCGATTTTACGAATTCCAGATTTTACAAACGTAATATAAAGGTGATGACGTCATAAAAATTGAAGCGAAAGATTAAAAAAAAAAAAAAAAAAACCTGCTCGAATTGTACCTGTTATTACCATGCATACAACACAACACACCATACTATACAGTACAGAACTATGTAATTCTCAAGTGAAGGAGGCCCTCTAACGAGCCTCTTCAAAGTCAGTGTTTTTTATGGTTTCACACATGTGCATGCGACAAATTTTACTTCTCTTTCAAACATCGTTTTTAGCTTAACAATTCAACATAGTGCTTGATTGTTTTATTGAATGATCAATATATATAATAAACAAGTATCTATAGAAGTTGTTTTGGAATAAAATCTACGATCTAGGTATTTAAGAAGGTAAAAATGTCTGATAAAAACAAATTTGTGCAGTGCCTAGAGTGGGATCAGAATGCTTAGAATCTGCCAACTGTAGGCCTATAGGCCCCCTCAGAATTAGCTGCGTAAGTCTGTAGGCCTAGCCTAGGCCTAGTTTATGCCAGTGTAGGTAGTATCAGTGCAAATATATAGGAATTTGGGTCAACCCCGATTTTACGAATACCCGAATTTATGAACGGCTATGGGCCCATGCCGTACGTAAATGAGGGGTTCTACTGTATAGTGTCATTATTTTAATAAGTCCTGTCTTTACTCTGAAAGCAACATTTAGTTTAGCAGTGAATAACAACAATTACCATATGTCAGAGTTTAAACAATCCCATTCATAATTACTGAATCTGTATGATGTCAACTTATAAGAAACTATAGTATTTAACATTAGTAATAGAAAACAAGCATATTGTTAGCTTTTTCAATAATTTGTCAATGTTTGTATATGTGTAAATCTTGTACACTGTTGGTATTACCAGTACACTTATTTTCAGATTATAATGCATAGTATGTTGTAAACATGCCAAATTATCAGCTTTAATGTAGTTAATAGATACAGTAGCCTTCTAGGTAAAGATGGTGAACGAACTACAGTATTAACATTTCATAAAACAAAATATGTACATGTACCTAAAAACTGAAACAGCATTTACCACAAAAAAAGCTCAAACAAATACCATTAAATGTTAAATTTCCAAGCACATTTTAGTGTTTAATTTTTCTTCATGCTCTTGTTTTCTCATTTTAATCAATTAATTCTCCTTGCTTTGGCATGTTCACGATCGCAGGTGTTATATATCAGTTGCCTGCACATTTGTCAAACACGCTTTCAACTGATTTAGCAGCGCAGTTGAGCACACTAGTCCAGAGCGTGTTCAAACAAAATTGATTGAGCATGTCAAGGAGTCTTGAAATGGGGAGGGAAGGGACTAAGGGCGGGGTGCGAAGATGAAGTTAGGACTCGGTGATTAACTTGGAGAGGCACTAACTCACAAAAAAGGTGAAATGAGGTAATTTTTTACTACATTTTTGGGGAAGACAAGCTTTTTTGGATCCCTGCGCACCCTAGATATGCCACTAAGATTGATACAAAATGCAAACACAATAGTTCTTTTACCTGCAACATCAAACTTCGCATCATGTATCTCCTGATATATCTCTTCTTGATTTATATCTGGACAAAATTTCTGTAAATTTTCAACCATGTTGATGTCTTTAGGAGTGGCCCGTCCAGCAGACTCAGACAAATTTACAGTGTCAAACAAAATAGTTCCTGAAAAAACATACAGTGACATGAAAATTAATAGTGATATGAATTATTTTGAATATAATTATTATTTTATTGCATAATTAATGTCATCATAACATTTATCACATAAACATACATAATTCGCAACCAACAGCATATAACTTACCAATAACCTCTTCTTGATGCTTAGGGAGTGGAGTTGTTTTAGTCTTGAGAAAACGTCCTGCTTTCATAGGAATTGAACCCAGGACCCTGGTATTAGAAGGCAAGCACCTTAACCACAACTCCATTATATTTAATAAATATCAAAAGTACTTTAGAACATGAATCCTACCTATTAACAAACTGGCAATTGTTTCATCAACATTTTGCAAAACCCAATTTGGATCTTCCTGTAGCAGATGCTCTGCAACTAATGTACAACATGACCCAACCAACTCAATAACTCCATCAGGTGCGTCGTCACCAACAAGGTTGCTTTGGTGATGGTCCAAGACCTTTACAACAGCTCCTTCAATTTCACTGTCCTTCCCAGGTAGTGTATTATGATCAACAAGGTACAAGTTAAGTCTATCATCCCGATGCAATTCTCCTAAATTTATTTGATCTCGGCAAGTGAGGTGATTCAAGTTGATGTTGTTTTTCTCAAGGTAGTGCACCGTTTCAGTTCTTAGGGCCAAATCCTCTCGGTTAATGTTTAAGCATGGAATGCAAGGTTTCTGTGGACTGTCTTCTTTCTAAAATATGACAAGAAAAGACAATCAAAATAATAAATTACATTTCTGGTATGGAGTCAACTTCAAACCATTGTTTGCAAAACAGTGCGGGCATACAAATGGGTCGGTGGGTCAAAATGAATTTTTTTTTATCTAACACTATTGGCCCGCACTCGAACTTTGACATTTCTCATAAAAACCTTCATGCACTGCTTTTATACCGCTTTACGGTCAGATTTAATATTACTTTTTACAGATTATTGGTGTCTCAGGCCGTAAAAATATTAGAGTCTTCAAGCCAAAGGCGACCATCAAGCTGCACTTGTAAGGTTGGCGCGGGCTGCAACAAAATTGCTGAGGGATCGCATGTGGCCCGTGGGCCATATTTTGCCCATTTGCGGCATAGAATTGTGCAACAGAAAACAAGAAAATATAGCAGTAACATTGAAATGAAGGAAATATTGATGGTTCAGTTTAGAAAAGTAACTATGATAGTATTTATTATTATTTTACAGTTGCATAGTCATGCTTGGCCAGCCTTAAATCTTCAAAAGGTGTTGAATACATGCATTGTACAGTATCTGCAGCACATGAAACATAGAATCCAATTCCAGAAATATTATTATCCAATATCAAGAAAGGTGTAATTAAGTAACTGATGCACAGTACTGAACTTCAACAAAAAATTCCCTGGTGTACTGGTGTACATAGAGAATTGAATATTGGGTGATAGATTTTAGATTACTCTGAGCTTAACATTCTATTTTGATGCCAATGAACTTTCACATTTGAATTCATTCTTTATTACAGAATTATATGAGTAGGCTTTAACATTTTAAAATTTTAGTTATCTTATAAAAAGAATTATGTCTTCTTTCTTACTGTAAGGTGTAATTATAAGATTGTGTTTCATCACATGGTAATGTTTTTCATAACATTTGGAGATATGGGCCATAAAGTAAAGTATTTGACATTGGTATAAAAAATATTGCATGTGTTTTCAAGAGGTACTATATGAACACAAATTCTCAAAAATATTTTTTATTTTACTATCATAACTAATAATTAAAAAAGGATCATATAAATTTCCAATCAGAAATAGATCGAAAAACATTGAAAGATACAGACATTTTACTACAAAAATCCTTTAAATACTCAATTTGTTTACATCATGACCGATATAGCTTTACTACTGATAAATTTACAATATTTGAAGCAAGGTTTAAGCAGTACTAATTTAAGAATATTGTTAAATTGATGGCCTGTTACTTATACATCTTACAACAGTACTACTGTTCAATATTAACGTTGTTAGGTATGAAATTGAGTCGTAGGATGCTTATTAATTAAAGTTCCTTACAATGAAGCTTATTGATTTTGATTGACTCAAGAAAACCTAATCAATTACCATTGTGTAGAAAAAGCATTTTGTGAATAAAATACTTTAGTTGTGTAGTACCAATGCACAAAACCTGAATATCTGGGTCACATTAGCCAATATCATACATTTTTAATACTGTATACTAAAAAATTGAATTTATTATAATTAATTTCTTATTAAACATATAATTGCAATTTACTTGGCAGTTTATTTCTATTTATTTCTAGTTTTATTAAATTCAATTAAAAAAAACATCATTTACTTTGATGATCTGCGGTCTATATTCTCAGGTAGAGAAATGGAGACATGCAGTAGGCCTACTGTATCTTTGATATTCTGACCAACATGCATGGGCCCCATCAACCAATGCCACGACGAGGTAGTCGGATTTAAAATATCAATTTGCTGATCCAGTGTGATTGCCAATCCCTAATACTGTGTTCTCAGGGCACAAATTAGGGCCATGCTAAACCGTAAGATTTCTAACCGTGAACCCCAGCAGGGCTTTTATTCTGGTTCCCTGACTGAGGCTCTAGCCAGATATTTGATTCTGACTCCACTATCGAACTTGATGGACCCTCCTGTAGGCAGATTTCTGGAGTCACCACTGGTCTGGGCCACATAAAAATGATTGTTAGAATCACTAAACCACCTCCTGAATGGATGGGACGACAGGGGTGGCGCCAGGATTTGGCCGACGAGGGGGCCGACAGGGTGGCCGATGCCCCGACGAGGGGTCAGATTTCCACGACGAAACCAAAGTGGGCGTGGTCAAGCTTCGATTGAAAGGTTAAGAAAGTGGTCTCTTGGAAATTTTGACAATTTAGGGGTTTCAACGGCTTATTTAATCGATTTTAGAGTCCAATAATATGTAGAAAATACAAACAATTTCTTTTTCTCCCCGACGAATTATGCTTTTTCCCCCCGACGACCGGGGGACACCACCCCAGTGGGATACCACCCCAGTGGGATGACCTTGAACATAAGAGGACATATGGGGGGGGGGAGAAAGTGAGCCTAATGTCCCCATACTCTGCCACTGAATATATGCATCTGGTGATATACTGTACTGTACCTACTCTATCCTCAGTAGCATACTGTACCACAATTATTTCAGAACAAACTTTTTTTCCTAGGACAGATGCATAATGGAATAAACTAAATACTATGTTAAATGTATAGATAACTAACATACTGCCAACTGTACAAACAACAGTAAAATAGAGATTTGGAATTGGAGTACTCCCAGGGTACTGTGCATATTGTTAAATAATTATTTATACAGAGAGTTGTTATGCAGTGCACGGACAGTAATGAATACCATTACCATCTACATAGTTAATGTAACTGAATACTATATACAGTAGTACATTAACCATTGTGGTATAAAAAAAATACCAATCAGTAATACATAATTTTACCTTTCTAGAATTGTTCAGAAGTTTATCCTAGGAATTGGCAAAGTAAATATTGCTCTTAGAAATTAGTCATGTGACTTGAATTCAAATTCATAAATTTGTTAACGACTAAAATGTAGCATGAACAATTCAACTCTCTTAAACAACACCACAAATAACAATGGTAACTGAACCTCGGTTTTTATACAATCGCTACAGCGTTTTCACTGCAATCATTCCACTCTGCAGCTGTCCCCGATACAATCGGGAGCGCTCCCAGGTTCAGCTGACCTATTAGGGTTGCCAAAAGGAGTTGGCGATAGTGTGTAGAAATTTTTATGGAAACCAAGCTTTACAATAACAAATACTATTAATACAACAATAATACAAAATTACAAAAAAAAATAATATTATTAATAATAATAATAATAATAATAATAATAATAATAATATAACAATAATAACATCATAATAATAATAACAATAAATAAATATTTTTTCACTTAATAGAATGCATTTAAAAACTGAAGAAAATAAACGTTAACACTGCAACTTACCTGAGATAGGTAGAAAGCATAAACAATGGCGCTTACAGCTGAATCCAAGTCACATGACTCATTTCCAAGAACAATATTTATTTTGCTGAATGATGCCAATTCCTAGGATAAAGGCAAAAATGTAATTATCAAATGTTGTTTGCATAACAAATATCAATTCTTGATCTGAGACGACGTGAAGTTGTCTCAGTCATAACATTTGAATAGTTGCCTGCCTACTGTGCCATTTTTTGAAATCATAGACTCAGTGTCATAGAGTATCTAAGGGGATGGGCAGGAGTGCCACCACCCCCTACAAAAAGCTGGCTCCTCCAGTCACCTCCTGTGGATATACAGAGCATTACATTTTGTTCATGTAGTTAAAAATACCATATTTTGTGACCTAGCGCACCCACTTAACCATCAAGCCTCTCCACTTGACCTTCACACACCCCGTCAGCACTCCCCAGCCTCCCCCACCCAATTGATTTCAAGACTCTTTATACATATACACCACTGCACATACTTTTTTGCAATGATCAGTATACAGTAAATGACATTTTCTTCAACCACATTTACCTACGGTAAATATTATCAGAGATTCTGTTCACTTCTTAGAAATTTTTTATGCATATTTTTACACAATAATCATTATCTAGTCATGTCATTTTCATTGTTCATTGTTCATTCTATTTTATATTTTATCATTACTACTAACAAAATCAATTTAATTTGATTGAATGTACCATTTTAAATTGCGGACAAATTCTGTCTGCCTGGTCTTTCTAATTAATTATTAATGCCTTGTGACTTTCATTGTTCCTTCAGGTGAAATCAATTTTGATTTGATGAATTTTTTTTTCAAAGCTATACACTCAAGTTTCAGACATGCGTTTAAAATTCAAGTCATTTTTTTAAACATTCAAGAGACGATGAACCTTATGAAGTTTCTTTGAGGATTAATAACAATGTTTGCTATGACGTGCTAAACATTAAATAAAGAAAAATAAGTGTTTGTTAGTGGAAAATTCCAAATTGACTGAACATACGTGATTAAACAATCAATCAATCAAGGTGGTATCATCTTCATATGACAGTTTTAATTCACTACTCAAGACGCACCTTTTTTTAATCTCTTTTTTGGAATGGCATCACAAGCAACGACAGTTAGCAGGGTGGATCCAGAGATGTCCAAAGGGGGGAGGGGGGTAGGAGTGTGGAAGGGTAGCCGAAAGTAAGGCCGATTGAGATAACAATACCCTATTAAGGGGTCTAGGGCACGCTACTGCAAAATTTCTGTGTTCTAGACGCCTGAAAATAACCTCTAAAGCCATTTGGGCGATCAATTTTTTTCTTTTTCTTTCTTTATCTTTTTTTTTTTTTTTAATTTGGCTGGCCCTCCCCTCCAATCTAAATCCGCCCATGGTTAGAATGGTGCCATATACTGTAAATGGAACGATTGATAGATAGATGGATACCATAAATCCTTGAATAAGCGTCCCAGCACTTAAAAATTTTTTGGAGACTTCAGTGCGGCGTTTATTAACGAGCAGAGCTTTTTGAAAGCGGCGCTTATCAAAATATTGGCGTGTGCTTTCCATGCCCGTTCCCATGTTACCTATTTCACGTATTCCTGTAGTTCGATATGGCCTATCATAGGTCCTACGTCATCATAAATAAACGTTTACAGGTACAGTATTTGTCATTAAAAAACAAAACATGATAAGTGTGGGCAAAACTCATTCAAACACATGATTTTTTGTACAAGTAAAACAACAGGGAACACATTCATACAGTAGCCTATATTCTGCATTCATTAGATATGCAGAGTTATCTACTGTATGTTATAGCACACAGTGGATCAATCAATGAGGCAGAAGCCATCCAGACCAGCTAGACAACTGTACAGCAATACCTCCAGGTCATAGACTTTGGACAACGTTATCGATAATATTTATGACAAGAAAATCAGGAGAGCGTACAGGGATTTATAGATAACATATGAATTCAGCTTGGCTATCTTTTAAATGCTAATGTTCTGGTATATCAAAAAACAGTAGCTAGAGCCTGTTAAATATAAATCATAGAATATTAATATGCAAAATGAAAAAATGACCTGCATCACTTTAATGTATTAATGCAGGTATCTGTTTTTTTCCGGATTATGACAAATCCAGATCCAAGGGAAAAGGGGCCTTCCCTACTGCCTTCTAGTCTGAGTGCCAAAATTACAAATTACAGCACTACTTCAATATGAATGCCCCTTGACAGGCTAAATATAGTAATTCCAGTCTAATATATTGTACTTTTTACAATTATGCAGATAATTTAATTAAATTAGTGTTTGTCTAATTTAGTAATTAGACAGAGGATTCTTGTGAGTCACAGCTTAATCAATTAACTATAGATTACAATGCAAAATACGCATAAATTTATTTTCACTTACTCTATTCTTTTTTATATGCTTTCAAATTTTTCTTTCTACCATCTTTGTTTATTTCTTATATAAATACAGGCAATGGTATTATGCAGAGCTACTTATTAATAAATAATAATAAAGCGAATTATGGCCTGTCATTGGAAATTACAGTGCAATCATACACGATTGTGCAATCCATTTGTCCCCAAGGGAGTATTTGTAGATGGATGAATATTCAGTATCTATACAAACCAGCATTCTACACAAAAATCTAAATTTTGAGTAATGCCATTGTATTGAATATAAAATAAACAGTGTGGGATAATTCAAAGCCAGAAGATTATATTTAATTCTTAGGAATTTTGTTTCTTATGAAAATATCTACCAGTACCTACCCGATACATTCCAGAATGAATTATATTTTAATCAGTTTTTTTTACTGGTGGTACAGTACTGGAGCATTTCATTTTTATATTTGTGTTCAATTGTATTTGGCCAATTTTAGGCACACCACTGGCAGTGGTATTAAGAACAGTAAATACAACAATGCAGGTACAAAACAAAATATCAATTAAAAAACTGGGAGAAAAGGGGCGTAACCAGCCTCTTTCCCCCAGTTTTTAAATATTCAAAAATCTGTATCTCATTAACAAACAGCTCCCGAGGTTTTCATCAAATATGCTCTTGTGTCTTAGAAGAATCAGTTGTACAACATATAAAAAAAAAATGTTTTTCTCCTGAGCCTGGTTTTAAACTTTTATTTTTCGTGACTTGAACTTATAAAATATTAACTAATAAAAATTTGTTGCTTTTGGCACTTTAAAGGTCCTACAGTATTTAGACATTATTTGTTGCAATAGTCACCTTAAATTTTAAAAGCACCTAATCGTCACTGACAATAAAAAAAAAAACAGTTGGTATTTGTACACAGCCATTGAGAGTGATCGTTATTCTGAACATTTAAATTATTAACTTTGATTTCATGTCATGAAATAATTAAAGTTAAATAATTTACTAACAGTCCCAGTATAATATGTACTGTAGTGTAGTACTGTAGGTCTTCAGTAAAATAAAAATTCAACATTATTCAACCAAATGGCTAACTAATAAGGGCATGGGTAGGAGACCCCAATTTAGGAGGATATGCTACACTCATGGCTAACTGACATCAGAGAGACAGTACAGTACAGTAGGAAATACTGACAAACTGTAATAATTTAATACATGCAAAATTTTCTTGAGGTGGGTTTAATAGTTTGTTGGAAGATTTTGTTCTTTGTGAGAGACCAATGACAATATCTTTAAATACCTACACAGGGCTGTAACAACACAAAATTAACCAAAGCAATGCAATATAAACTTAAAAATTAATATTATAAAATAAGAAAATTGAAATTAGAATTTGCATATAAATGATAAATGTCAAAATAAAAAATGTACAATATTTACCTGGGCTAGACACTGTGAAAATTGAGTTGTAACATTTTTCAAGATAATTCCATAGTTTAAAGTATGTAGTATACAGTAACTGTACAGTGCATGATTCTAGTAGGGCCCAACCCAAACTGCACTTTTTATATTATCCAAGGGCTGGCCTCATGGGAGGGGGATATAAAACGGGCTGTAGGGTGTGGAAATTGAGAATGCAGAACTAAATCCCTATTCCAATGAAAACTTAATCGGTTATTTAATATTTTAACCCACTTACTAGAATACACATTAGGCAATTTCTGTAGTCGATTTAACCAGGTAAATACAGTATTCACAAATTAGCTAATTTTTTATCATGGGGGATGAAGAGGGGGTTCCTTCCCAAATCCCAGCCTACGCCCATGCTATCAGTTGTTGGTTTTGGAATAATCCACTTATCTTCAGTTCATCTCAGTCAATAAAAGGTTTCCTTTGTTCTAATTTGTAAAGGTACTGTATTCACCATACTATTTTCACATTTGGAAGTATATTCAGCAGAAACTAATCTGTCCTCCCACAGGACCCATTAGAATAATGTAGCGTCCTATACGCCTCAAAATAAGGCTCCAAACATTAATAGTGTGTAACATGAGTTGTTTTCTTTTAGTCATAAAAGGTAAATCAGGAATCTGGAGGACATTAATTCTTAAACACAAGACAATGGAATTGTAAGACAGGCTTTTTTTTCAGATTTTTTCTTTTTTAAAGGGTGACCTTTCACTGTTTCAGGCTTAATCTAGAAGGCCAGCATATATTCAGAAGCCACTGTAAATAAACAAAATAATGTGATGCTCGATTAACCTATAGGTACAGTATTTAAAATCAGAAACTATTAAAGTCTCATCGTGGAGGTATGGTCTTGTTACATTACACTTATATGTGAAGCGGACATGTTTTAAATGAGAAAAAAGTTTTCTGAACTGGGAAGGGAAGACAAACCTCTTGACAATGAGCTTCAGTTCAACTCAAAATATTAAATGCTGAATAAAATGTTACATCTTGGTTCACAAGCTTCAAAGAAATCTATTAAAAACATTTTAAGTTGGTTTAAAAATTGTCTGCATGTTTTATTATTTACTATTGAAGAATTTAATGTTATTGCTGGCTGGATACCGATTACAGTATACTGTACAGTATATACTGTAAAGGTACAGAACAATGAAATTACAAAATTATGGTAAGTGAATGCATGTAAGGTAGTTTAATTAATATGATTTCTTAATTAGTTTTCCTATAGCCAATTTAAATTTTATGTTTATACTATGTTTTATTTTCTAAGACTGGGTTGGTAGGCTTTTGAGATAGAGTGTTCATCCCTATTATAAATCCTAGCCAACTAGGTAATATTGTAAAATTGATTGCTTGTCCAATTTTCATTGTTTTTGTAAGTGTATATGTTTGGCTGAATAAAGAATGAATGAATGAATGAAAGTGTTTTTTTTTTAAATATGAGCATTTGGCACAAAAGGTGGAACACTTTGGAACTCGCTAAAGATTTTTTAAATTAAATTTTTTTTCACAACGACAGTTGTTTCACTAATCATCGGCAGTAGGTTTGCAAAAAATGATATAAAAGTCAAAAAACAAACATTGCAACAGAATAAAGAGATTCAACGTATAGTCAAACCTGAGCTGAACATGTATGCTTCCAAAGTAGGCCAATTCTTTTTTATACTGTAGTGTAACTTTTACAAAAATTGTCAAATTATTATCATCTCACATTTCTTGTCTGAACCATTAAAAAAATTGTTTCCCTGACTGTGTGACAATATTCTTAATTTTATCATCATTAATCACTTTTGTCATAGAAAATGCGTCAATGTTTTCTCAAAGCAATCACTAACTTTTTATAGTTCCTCTAAATTCTGATGGAGTGAAAGTGGAACAGCCATTATGAAAATTATTTATCATCATGATGATACATTTTTGTTTAAATATATTTTTTCATTGGGAATATTTGCACACTGGCAGCAGCATGCCTTTTATGTATACAAAACAAGCCATTTAATAAATATAAATAAGGCATCCGGATTATCAATATATCATACAATACATTTACTATGAAGTATAATTTTTAAGGCATCAGTGATTACTAATTAATACAATACAGTTTCCTGTTAAAATCATCATTACCACCTGAAAACCAGGCGATGTCAACAAAAAAAAAAGCAAAAGATTACTGAACTCATTATTCATACCAAGTAAACTTTTTACAAATTCTAAAGCCAGTAGGCCTAGGCCTATTTAATTTTTTATTTTCCGAGAAGAGACCCCAGTATAATGTGGTATACAAGTGCCCAATCAACCTAGGCTAGAACTATATAATTTGTCATATTTATTATATTACACCAATTGTAAATATTTGGGACCGGACATCCCAAGAATGGGACCAATCCGCTATATGACAGATCTTTACCGGTAGTCTGTTGATTCACATTGCAGTCTCGTTTGAAGGCCTACGGTACGTACCGATAGTTCTTTTTTCGTCTGACTAAGAAACGCTTCCATGATGAGAAATTAAATCCAAAACTGCAAGGAGTAGGTTCATCAAGATAAAATAAATGCTCTCGGGTGCTATACAATCCTTGGACCAGCCACCTTCTAGCGAGCTAAAACCAAATAAGTAGACATCAAAACGTAAACATGAAAAGCAAAAATTCAACTCAGCTGTCGCATAACTTCCGCCAAGACTCACTTGCTAGCAGCATTGTTGGGGACATGCGAATGTTTAATAATAGATGATGAGGATCAGGAGAGGGCGTGCAACCTGCAGCGTTGGTGACCCGACCTTCCTAAATTTACGTCATTAATTATGTGAAAAAAGAAGTTCTAACGATTTGGCATCTCTTGGTACCATTGAGGTATAAATTATAATGCTGATGATAATGATGGCAATAACGATGAAAATAATTGCAATGATGATGGAAATGATGGTGAGCATAAAGAAGATGGTGATGATGACGTTACATTGATATGATCAATATGACAATGATGGATAACGATGGTGATGATGATGATGATGATGATAATGATGATGAAGGCCGGTGATGGTGATGATATGATGATTATGTGAAGATGATGATGATGATGGTGATGATGATAATGTGGTGTATTTTTATTGTGCATATTTTTATGCAAATGATAATTATAATAGTAAAATATGAAAAAACCAAATAATAATAATAATAATAATAATAATAATAATAATAATAATAATAATAATAATAATTAAATTAATAATAATAATATAAAATATACTCGGCCCCGGCCCCTAATGACGATGATGGTGATGCACGAAGCATACTGTATTTTTATTGTGCATATTTTTATGCAAATGATAATTATAATAGTAAAATATGAAAAAACCAAATAATAATAATAATAATAATAATAATAGGAATTAAATTGATAATAATAATAATAATATAAAATATACTAATCGTCAAATAATATTAACAATGTGATCAGAATGAATAAAATATGAATAGTTGAAGGCCCTACTATGAACAATATACAGTAAGTGAATAGGCCTAACAATATGAATACTGTATGACTAATATAAATAATAATATGAATAATATGAGTAATAAAACATAAATATCATATGTTGTGTGTGTGCGCTTGTGTGAAAATTTCAATAAAAATGCTATAGTCGGGTCAAAATTGGTGGCTCCGTCGATTCGACTTGCAAAAAAAAAAAAAGAATCCCCACCCCTCCCCACGCAAGACACTTAATCATCCCCTCAACCTTCGCGCCGACATCAGCCCCCGTCCCCAGGAAGAATAATACCAGATTAATTTTTGATGACTAAATGGGGCGCTCGAAAAGTAAGGTGATATGAGTGGTGATTGCTGGAGCGTAATTGTTTTGCTTCGAACATTTCCAGTGGGGGATTTCTAAGGAGCTCTTACCCGAATCCTACCCGAATCACTTGCAAAATTTCTTTTCCTCAAATTTGGGAATGTACTGAGTATTCGATAACATGTTAGGTGGGTAAAACATTGCTATAAAATTTCCTGACGAATACAGCATCGAGATAACTCAAGTACGGTTTTGGGAGGTTAAAAAAAGAAAGAAAGAAAAATAAAAAAAATGATAGCCCATAACGCCTCAAATGTTATTTTCAGGCGCAAAAATTTCCGAATCCCCTAGGACAGTGTTGTCTCGATCGGCCAAACTTTCGACCCCCTTCCGCCCCCCCCCCACTCTTTTAAACCTCTCTGGATCCGCCCCTGTAATTGCTCATAAAGTATTAAGTACCGGTACCATATCTTCTGTATATTTGTTTTATATGATACTGTAAAACCTCGAATAGAAGCCCAATGGGCCTAACAGAAACCCATCTCGAATTGAATCAGGGGAAAATGTACTGGTATTTAAAATTAGAGGAAATTGGTTTTATTAAAAATATAAAAACGGTCATGCAGTAAACTTGAGTCATTAGACAGTATTTACGTGAAGTATTACTGACGCGTTACTAAAAATTGATCAGTGTGCCTATGCCTATTAATTATTTGGTTGTTTAAGTAATGGAAAGTTTGTGTACATAGTTAGGTGCTCAAATTAAACATATGCCTAACGTTGAAACTCAAATTGTACGTGACTTTATTAACATTTTTGTTTATGTACCTTACCCGGTATTGTCAACAAACACTCCCTGAAATCGTTTTAAAAAGACTTAAAAATGCTCAGAAGGTGCACGAGGGCCCTCACACTCTGGATCCCCACCGGGGCTCCGCCTCCGGGACCCCGGGGGTGGCGTCCGTCCCCCCGAAAGGGGGGGGGGCGAAATTTGGGCCGATCGAGACAACAATGTCCCAGGGGTCCGAAATTTTTGTGTTCTAGATGCCCGAAAATAACATTTGAGGCGTTCTGGGCTATCATTTTTTTCTTTTTCTTTCTTTCTTTCTTTCTTTTTTTATTTTTTTTTGATACAGATTGATATTACAGTGGCCCTTTGTTTTATAGGCCTAGAGTAATTCTCAAAATTTACAACATTTATTTTGACAAGAAGCCCCCCCTCCCCCACCCTCTTCACTTTGCAAAAGTAGCTTCGAAAAGAAGCCCACATCCAAAGTTCACAAAAATCAAGAAGCACAGGGGCTTCAATTCGAGATTTTACGGTATACCTTGAAACTTGACAAACTTGAAAATGTAATTACAACTCAATGTGCAAATACCTTCTCAATGCAATTACTCAACTCTGATGCGTATACATACATAGGCTACATGTTGAATTTGTAACCAAGCGTCATCTTGTTTTGATTTTATATTGCTCTGCTCCTGCATCGAGCACTGTTGTCTAAATGATATGGTTTCAACCTACACTACATACCGGAGTGTATATATA